GTGTCAAAAACCAAAAAAAAAAAAAAAATGTAAATAATGACCCCCTTTAAAAATATACTATTAACTTAAAGTATATTTTTAAAGGGGGTCATTATTTACATTTTTTTGGTTTGTGACAATTTTAAGATGAACACAAGTTTTTTTATCAATCTGGTCATATTTTTTCTTCCCAGGTCTGATACTTGTGCCTGTGCATATAATAAAAGCTTATTGCTTAGGTTGCAGACATGTCATTGACATATATTAGACATAAAAGAGGACCTAAAATGAACATCAGGGGGACAACATAGGTAGAGCAGTAGTAGAAGGAGTACCAGCCACATCAACCAGCTGCTATCAGAGATAAGACTTGAACCATGTAAGAATGTCATTATATATGGCAGATGCTTGAAGTTTCATGAAGAAGAAGAAAAATAACTTCTTCATATGCAGTATAGTGTGATCAACTGTATCAAATGCTTTTTGTAGATCTAAAAGTATCATGCAATACTGCCTTTGTCCATTTCAAATAAAATACAATCTATTAACCCATTACTTCATGAGCATTTTGTGAAAAATGGCTGTTTTCATTGAAAAGTCTCCCGTTACAAGTTCAAATTGCTATAATACTATAAAAACTGCTTCAACACTAATCAAACTTGGCACAAATGTTGACTGGACAATTGCACTTGCAACAACATGCTCAGGCTTAAATTTTCTGTTACCATGGCAACGAGGGGACATCTCAAAATTGCCAAAAATCACTATTTTGCGTTGATTTTTTCCATCAAAATTGATTTCAAAGTGCTGCACTTTCTCAATGGATTGAGATAGAGTCAAATGCTTTTCAGTGTTGATTACACGTTACCTTATGATCAATCTGGGGTCATTTACAGCCTCTCACAAGTCCAAAATTTTTCTTGGCGATGAGGGGGACTCCGCCCCTCTTCAAACCCCCCAAACAGAAGGGGGCACATCCCCCTTCTGGCAACCCCCTGATGTATCTTTTGGTTGGGGGGCCGCGCCGAAAAAGAGGTCACTTTTTTAACAACATTTCTCAAACAAAAACAAGTGTTTGGGGCCTAAATAAGGCATTTTTTCATCATTTGAGACAACAAAAAGGGGGGGGGGGGGTGAAAAAGGCGTTAAAAGGCGTGTATATGAAGTAATGGGTTAAATGAGTCAAACATGTGTCAGTTGAAAAACCACTTCTAAACCCTGACTTAAACTGCCTGACCATGACTCGAACCCATGACTTTCAGAAGACCAACTGAGCTATCCGGCCGGCTACACATTTTCTCTTTAATAATGAAATAGTTCTAAACCACAACATATTTCCCCACTCTATTGGTTTATGTCCTTGAATTTCTGATGTTTACAGAGCATAGTGAATTAAACTCATGGTTATATGCAGTCACTGGATGAGAAATCTTTCAGCTTGAACAGAACTCAAACCTGTGACCCACAGAATAATGTACCGCGGCTATAAGCGATTGAACTATCTGGCCGCTTACACATTTTCTGGCCTAAATAGTGAACAGTTCTAAACCGTGACAGATATTTAGATTTTTAAATTAACAGATAATTAATTCTTAATTAATAAATAAGAAATAAAAACCTTACATACTCATAGTCTAAATTAAAATAACAATTTATATATTATGTATAATTATTTTTACTAAAAAGGGCTTAGACAATAAACTATTGGTTGTGCCATTATTTATAACGGGTCAATTTGAAAGTGAACATAACTGTGCTAATACATGTACAATATCTATTTTTTGTACGGATAAAAAACTAACCCTTTTTCTATGGTAAGAAATTTTATGAAGGCTGATTTGTATTTTGCATCAAAGGCACTGGGCGAAAACATGAAAATGCAACAAACACACCACTTTGTGTCTGGCGCCCGGTTACTTTTTTGTACTTTGTTGGTTTTCATGTGGCAAAAATCACCTGCTGTAAAATTTAGTGTACAAATTTATTCAAGGGCAAGTAACAATCTACTCTATGAAAAGTCTGTTGTCGGGTTGACTCAGGAGACCTAAGCTTGGAAATTGAGACCGGTGTCCCTCCATTACAAATAGATAAGACAGAAGCTGTCCTTTTCAATCTATGCACATGTTAGAAAAAAATTAGAATAACCATTCAAAATATGATTTTTTGAGACTTTATCAATTATATTGCTTGATCCAAGTTTCAGGACATTTTCAATCAATACATGTATTATCATTTATAACTTTAAATGAAAGTCTCATCCCTTTAATAATAATGACATAACTGTAACTCTTTAAATTCAGAAATATTATAAGTCTCATCATATCAATATACTAAGATATACATGTATGCACATAACATTAATAATTCCCAGTTTCTATTAAATAAATATGAAATCCTAACATTAACATTGGTACTAATGGATGAAATTCAAAATCTAGTAGAATATATAAACTCTGTTTTAGATACTATTATTAGCCAGCTAACACTGGGTATAAACAACTATAACCTGTAGACTGATCAATACAAGTATTATAATGTAATCAAGTGTTTAAAATGAGCACCTATATGTATAGCTTAAATATTCTACCTTTCATTTTTACCAAAGGTTATTTTAGTAACAATTCATATACAAACACATAGAAAATAATAATTTCACATAGTGATTAGAAGATGCCTCTAGCAGAATACCTATAGGTATGTACCAACTGAACAAACTAGAAAAATCTGGTCTAGGGTATATCAAGCCAGTAAAAATATATATCAATATTCACTCACCAGGGCCTCTCTGCTTTTGATGACCTTACAACTGGTAAATTTTATAAAAAACAAAAAATAGTAAGTAATACTAAAGATAGAGTAGACAGAGTAGACAGAAAAGAACAAATAATTTAGTAAACATGAGTTACTTCCCCTTAAAAGAGAGAAAACCTGAAACCCAAAAGAACACCCTAAACATTAAAATTACGAAATGTTGCAGGCTCAGTCAGTTTTATTAAGCCATGCAAATTAATGGTAAAGTATTCATAAAAAATAGATGACCATGTGACAGCAGTTATTGCAGAAAATCGGATAGCTTTCAACATCCGGATACTGGTACACTTTGTAAAAACAACCATTCTGTGCAACAGATCAACGTAATATGGATAAAATCAATAGGATAATCGTTAACAACAGTCCATTACCTATCCTTATACTCATTTGCAGGTGAACTTTCTTCTTGTAAGAAAATTTTGAAAATATATAAATGAATGAACGAAATGGATACGGCATCAATGTAGACCACAACGATATTCGAAATCCGGGTTTTAGTATTGTCAATAAAACTAAGGGACAAGCTGTTAAACTGAGCCTGCAATTTCGTGAAAATAATATCACAATGCACATGCTTTTTATATAAAGTTATTAAATACAAATATAATAACATATTTGTTTACTTGATTTTTACGAATCAAAATAAATCTAATTAACTCAACATGAAATTAACTGCTAATAATAACAGCTCCTTCCATAGGCAAAAATAAAAAGTATTCCATATAAGACGACGCCGCTCACCGGCGTCGCCAACAAAACATTTCTTGTTTTTTTTTAAAAAGTTTTTTTGCTAAGCATGCACTTCCCTAATCTAAGAGTATAGTGAAAATAACCACGAGATGAAATTTTGATTGGTTCAAGACAAAACAGGAACATAACATATAAAATTTAATTGGTTTATCAGAATAATGTTGTTTTAAGTAATCCATAGCCTATCAAACCAAAGCCTGTGTGTACGTCCAGGGCCAGTCATTGACTTCCTGTTATTAAAGGTTTGACACGTTTGTTTTTTATTTACAAAAGTCAGAAATAATTTAATGAAACTTGCTTTTGGAGGAAGTTATGCCGTTTTACCAATTGACTGACCTAGCTAATGCACATGTAAACACATTGCTATGACCACAGAATTATCCGAAATAATGAAAAATGTCCGGAAATTTGCGAAAGCTTTTAACCCATTACGGAGTTTTAATTATGCTCAGTCGCCTATCGTTTCATAATCACTACTACTTACTGAATTCAAATTTAAAATGTCAACAAAGTAATACCTTTCACAACTTCATAAGCACAATAATCATTTTTGACACAGGTGTTTTGACCGTTTACGGCCGTGATAAAAGTGTATTTTAATAGATTCTATATATATTCATAATAAACTTAATAAAAAAAACAGGCTTGAAAAAGTATGTTAATGGACATTTAGAAAAATAATACAAGATATTAGCGTAAAACATTAATCAAAATAATGATATTGGTCCTCAAATTAATCCGTATTTTGATCCAATTATTTTAATATTTTAATAATTGTACTGATATTATTCATTGATTTTATGCATAAATAGGGTTGTTTCCTTGCAAATAAACATTCATTTACATTTTTCAAAATTCTCTTTTATTTTAGTTGGGTTCAATCATTCTTAGTGTCGTTAAACGATAGCCCTGATGCAGATCCAGATTTTTTCGATCAACTCGGAGTCAGGGGATGTCTCAAACAGGGTTCTGATAGACTTGCAATGGTCTTGTTTTGGTCTTGCATTATTCATGTATTTGCCTTGTATTTGACTTGAACTGGTCCTTCATTGGACTTTTTGTGTCTGTACCAGAGGTTCGACTGTATCGTCATAATAACATTTTAAATAGCTCTGACCTCAGTCCGTTTTCCTTTATCTCTAAATATGACCAATATTTTCACTCCGTTTAGGTTTATATGTATCTGGGTGAATATAATTCAAATAAAATATTAGTCATTGAGGAAACAACGTTCCATGAAATACGACTTTGTTTAAGTTAATATTGTACATGACGTAAAATCAGCTTCCGGTAATAAATATTTTTAAAGGAAATGATTAGTTCAATGTTTGAACTCCTAAATCTTATTGTCAACACGTAGTTTGTCATACTTTTTCCCTTCCTCCTATTATGAGATTAAACTTATTTTGGTGACAATTATGATTATTTGTGAGAGAGGTATGAAAATCTGAGGGCTGAACATGTTTGCCGGATGGACAGTTACGTGGATTATTACCATTGGTAAGATTTAGTCTATTTGTTTTTTAGTCATCTTGAAATATATTGGTTTTTTTTATTATTGAATTTAGGTCGGTCGTAAATCTTATTTTTAAGCCAAATCATGAAGTGCCCCTAACATAGAATAAGCATGGGGAAGTTTTGAAAATGGAAATCTCTCGAAAGCGAGATAGAAGCGAAACTAAAATATAAAAGAAAATTGCAAACTTATTGGTTATTTACAGGAAAGAAATTTAAAATGAAAACTGGTCACGTCTCATAGCACCGACTTTACGAGAACGTGTATTTATCCCTCAACACTAGTATCAATTATACCAAAGGAAAAAAGATCATTTGCTCAGGTCTACATATCTTATTTATCTTTTTGTATATAGGTGTGGCCAAAGCATATCAATTTCCTATACCGGACTTTGAAAGTCCATGGCTGTACCTTCAAGCTCAAGCTGGGACAAGTAAAGCAATGGAGACGGTGATGCATGGTCTAAACGAAGTCCCTATATTTGTGGATGTTCAAGTGAAATCATTAGATTCCCCCAACAAGGGCTATATATTTCAGGCAATAGGTAAATTTAAAAGTCATTTTTATCTTTTTATTACTATGATTTCACCACGAACGCTGTTTTTTATATCTAAGGTGGACATCTCGTCCTCTTTCCGTGCCCTGCTATTAATTTGTGAACTACATTGTGGCGCCGTTATATGTCGCAACGCCGCTTAATGTCGCACTTGCCGCTAAATGTCGCACCATTGACGCTAAATGTCGCAACCGCCGCTAAATGTCGCAAACACATTTGACGTTAAATGTCGCAATGTTAACGTTAAATGTCGCACGAATTTCCCTTATACCCCGGTCACATATTCACGGAAAACGCCTACGGAAGAGCCACGGATTAATTCCGGCATCGTCCGTAGTTACCCGTACTGGTCTGTAGCTCTCCGTATTGTAACCGTGATCAATCGTAGTAGTCCTTGTATATCCGTAGCGATCCTTGACAATTTTTGAACATGCACAAAAATTTGCTACGGAAAAACCAACCGTAGCGTATCCCTATTAGTCCGTATTAAACCGTACTGATACGTACTTGTCCGTACGTAAACCGTTCTAGTCCGTACTGATTCGTAGGCCCCAACTTGTCCACGGTTTGGTACGGAGAACTACGTATGTGTACGGTCACCCTACGTATAAGCTACGGTTTTAATACGGATTAATACGGCATTATCACGGAAAGGCACGATCGTAATACGCTGTACTACGGAGAGGCAAGGATTAGCACGGTCTTTTACGGTTTATTGCGTTGCATCACGAAACGGTACGGAATGGTACGGTCCACCACTGTTTAGTACGGATAAATTAAGTATCATGTACTTTTTCAAAGGTACAAATACCGCCTGCATGTTCAAAACAGATATTTGTGTGAACATTCAATAAATGATAATTGCCATTAACTGGCTGCAACTGTATATTGATATGGCTCAGAATACGGAGGCAGTGGTCGAGCTGCTTCATGACATGCATAGAGGTAAAAAAAAATATGTTAATATCGTACAACAATGCATAAGTATATTTTACAAACCATTGAATTGTGAAATTGGAGTAAATATGTACATAAAACGAAGTGTCTCATAAGCCTCGGACGCTGGCCCTTGAGTGATACTAAGATTAATTAACAAGCATTTTACATATTCTTAAAACATAAACATTCACGATAATTAATGTAATTGTAAATGAACAGCACATTTTAAAATCAAAAGAGAAGCAGTATTGATCAACATTTTTCATTAATGATTACTGGTCCATATCTCATCAGGTAAGAGAAGACAGAGGTGATGGTTGACTAGAGATGGGCTTTTACGAAGACCCCTTCATGTTTAGTATGAGGCTCTCATGGCTGAACTTGTTGAGGATCCGGCGTCCTTCAAGAAATTCACTATAATCAGACCTGATATGTCTCGGGGGTCGGACGCGATGAGGCCGAATCATTTCCGCCAAAATCATTGAACTCTGCTATTCGTTTTCCAGGTGTTCTTTTCTTGTGAGACATTGAGCATGCAAGAGGTTGTGGACGGATATAATAGGTCCGTATAGATCCGTGGCAATTCGTTCTTCTCCGTATCAATTCGTCCTTCTCCGTATCAGACCGTACTTATTCGTACTAACCCGTGCTTATACCGTAGCAGACCGTAGTGTATCCGTAGTACGTCCGTCCTGATTCGTGTCGCTCCGTATCAAACCGTGTCGGTCCGTAACAATCCGTGTCTCTCCCGGGGCTTTTGGTTGTAAATCCGTCGAACTCCGTACTCATACCGTTGTGTGTCCGTACTGGAACCGTAGCGGACTACGGAATTTCACATTTCCGTAGTAATCCGTGAACAATTGGACCGTAGCTCTTCCGTGGCATTATCCGTGAATATGTGACCGGGGCATTACCGTTAAATGTCGCAACACTACCGTTTAATGTCGCAAGATGTAAATTCATGTTAAAATTATGTTTAAATAGAGGATATTTGTTTAGTTCAGTGTAAGATCGGAATATATTTCACTGAGTGAGCACCAAAAGGTATATATCACGAGTGGTGCAGCCACGAGTGAAATATGAACAAATTTTCTTTTTATTTTATGCAAAGAAACGTTTTAAAAAGACGTTTTAAACCTAAAGCGCGCCAAATAGTGATACAACGTGATGTCATTTTCGACGTCATGTCATTAAGTTGATACCCAGTACTGTGCACGCTGGTATTTCACTGAAACAACGTAAGGGGCTTAAATTCAAAACAGTGAAATTATCAAAGTGGTAATTTCACTGTTTCAAACAGTGAAATTACAAGTTTTAAATCACTGATATATTTCTATAAACCAGCGGAAAGCATGTAATAAAGTAGAATATTATTACTTTTTAACATCTTTGTCTTACTTGGCTTCTTTAATGAACCTAAATATCGAGGTTTTGAGCTGATATATAATGTCATCTTTAGGCTAGAAAGGATAATTGATACTAAATTCTCAATAGATAAGTATTTTTCTTTTGTTTAACATTTTCATTTGACATTTGAATATTGCTCCACCGTCTGGAACCCTTATACCAAGGACCTTACACGCAAGCTCGAGATGGTCCAGAGGAGAGCTGCAAGATATGTGACGAACCGTTTCCACAACACAAGCAGCGTATCCTCAATGATCCAACACTTGGAGTGGGAGACATTAGAGTCACGACGGACCAAAGCCCAGCTGACCATGATGTTCAAGATCACCAATGACCTTGTGGACATACCAGTCAGTGATTATCTCACCCCTGCCCCGAGCCGCACTAGAAGTGACCACTCCAAGAGTTCCATCTACCATCAACATCGTACTACAAGAACTCCTTCTTCCCTCGTACAGCCACAACATGGGACAGCTTACCTGCCTCCGTTGCAGAGGCCCATGACTTGGTATCCTTCAAGCAGGGGCTATCAGCCCTCACATTCTAAGTCGCCTTATGGGCCCAGCTACAAGTACCCATTAGTGATATCCAAGGCTGTGGCGGCAGCGGCCACCGTAACCGGAGAGGTGTGGGTTGAAGAGGCGAAATATAGCTGGCCATACTTTTTGTCTATATCTCTACCTTTGTACTATCCAACCTCTTCTAACTTTCTATCATTTCTTGTATACATGTATTTCTTTTTCTTGACCTAGCACCACCCGTCGCGTCATAATCAAGTGTGATTGCGCCGACGTACAATGTAGATGTAGATTTGTAAACCTGATTGACAACAAATTAAAGGTAGTATGGTATTGTCACTCTTAGAATTTGGTTTAAGTAATTTCATTTATTTTCTCAGAAACTTCCGAATTTACAAATAACGTGGTTTAAAGTGAACGTTTTACCCGTGTATGGGTGCTAAAGAAGGGGAAGCTTCTGGAATCGGGGCATCTTTCTATATCTATAATTGCACTATCCTCCAAAGTCTAAAATGACTTGTACTCTTCTGTAGGACTCGCCCATATGGGCAACCGGTGGCTAGTATAATTAAACGCAAATTCACACACAGTAAGCAGATGTCAAAGTTAAAATTTGACACAAGATTTAGTACATTTTACGATTTGTCAAACACTATTTACGCTTTGACATTGTGGCAAGTGATATTTTACTCGCCAAGTCGCTTAATACTATGAAAGATTCTCAGTAACTATCATATAAAAAAATACAAATAATTGATTTAGCTCATATTGGCCTTGCTGTTTGGCTGGAGACAGCTAGCCGTTTTGGCCAGAGAATTTAGGCTTTTTATATCATTGCTTTGCTGTAATGAAAATCTTAATCTGTAACGCTTCGTTATAAATATTTCAATGAAATTAAATCCGACATTTTTCGAAAAACACAAGACATGAATTATACTCGTACATATGTAACGACGATATTGGTTAGATATCTGTAACCACTTTTATGTTCGTCCTAAAATGCGCATGTCGAGTACGTCATAGTGAAGTTCAAATGACCATAAATAAAAACATACGCACAATAGTGCATCTATTTTAAGATAATTTTAAGAGCTTTATTTTTCAAATCAAAAAAATGGAACAGATGTGTAAAGGAAACATCTTTTTAATTTATTGCAACAATAATATGAATGATCACTGCCTTTCTGGCGTTAAAATGGAAATAAAAACACGCATACGACTAGCAAATTTGATAAAAGCATAAACTGTTTGTGTAAACTTCATCCTGCAAATTAAAATCTATTTTAGCATTTGTGACCATGACCCTCAATGTAAAGGAAGAATACTATGCAAGTTATCTACCTTCCAAATATGAAATTCATTTGTCAATAAATAAAGGCTGTAAAAGTGTAGAAATCTATATTAGAACTGGTGACCTTGACCCGACTGAACCATAACTCCATCCAAAGGAGAAGACCTCAATTCCATGTTCCTACCAAATATTAAAGACATCTTTCAAAAGAATAATGTTAAAACACCTGTAAAATGTTAAAATCTATTTTTTGCGTTGGTGACTTTGCCCTTAACCCACAGGACCCCCAACTAAACCAAAAGGAAGAGGACCTCCCTTGGCATGTTTGTATTAAACATGAAATACATGATCTTAACAATAAAGGCTTAATGAGCAAAAATGTTATAAAAAATTCACACCAGTGACCTTGACACTAGAGACCCCTTACTCCATAAAAATGCACGGCCATTAATGGTATCCACCTACAAGATATGGAAGATATCATTAAATAAATTTTTAAGATAAATCCAACTTACCGGAATAGGTTAACCATACAAGGTCCTATTTTCAAAGTGAAAAAAAAAGGATTATAACTTGTGAAAATGATTGGCAATATCATGAACTTTTTCTAAATAAGTAAGTGTGGAAATTATGAAGCAATAAGTATAGACAGTACTTAAATAAATCCAACTTGCCGGTTTAGGTTAACGATATTCATTCTCAAACTGCTGAAAATGGCAATAACTTGATTAAAGTTTATGCAATAATTATGTTACTTGCCATGATCAAGTTTATTGTACTGATTAATAAATGTGTAAATTATGAAGCCCATTGTACTAGTAGATTTTAGAAAAAATCCAACTTGCCGTTTTATTATTTTGATCGTTCCATTTTTTATAACATGACACCAATTTTAGGCTGCCAGGCTCCTAGACTGCCAGCTTTAGGCTATTAGACTACAAAGTTAAGTGCCCTAAAGGTAAAGGCGTTTTTTTAACCATAATCATGCATGTGTATGTGCTTTTGCATGACCTTTCATAGTGATTTTACTGTATTTTAAATTGTTTCCATATTTATAATATAAGTCACTAACTTTAAGCTACTAGGCTGCCGACTCTAAGCTGTTAGGTTGCCAACTTCAGGTTGCAAAGCTGAAATCGATAGGCTGTTATGATGTTAGGTGGCCTCCTCAGGATACTAGGCTACCAACGTTAGGCTTACAGGGCGTTAGACAAACTCTTAAGGTCCAGGTCATCAGCAATTTAGGCTTCCTCTTCCGACAGCGAGACAATTTGCCTCCTCAGTCAACTAGGCCATCAGACTGCCACCTCAGGCAGCCCGTCTCTTCTGCCATTTTACAGACACAATTGTACTAAACTATAAACAATGCCAATTTTGCAGTTTCATACAAATAGTAGACAATTGTATAATTATCAATATGTACTCGCATAAGATCAGCAAAAAATCAAACGCAAAACAATATACATTTATTTACAAGATGAGTATTATCGCCGCCTAAATTGTAGCGCAGTTCCATATATAATAAATTCTTTCGCTTTCAAATTGAGTAGGCATATTTAATTAATATGATACAACAATAAAACTTGAGTTCAACATAAAATTACATCTTGGGACATTTAACGGTAGTGTTGCGACATTTAACGGTAAGGGAAATTCGTGCGACATTTAACGTTAACATTGCGACATTTAACGTCAAATGTTTTTGCGACATTTAGCGGCGGTTGCGACATTTAGCGTCAATGGTGCGACATTTAGCGGCAAGTGCGACATTTAGCGGCGTTGCGACATATAACGGCGCCACATACATTTTATACTGAATATTTGTAATTTATTGACACATGCGGAAAGTGACGATTAAAGCAGCACGCCTCCAGATTTATGCTAATTTTCATGAAAGTTTTGAAAATGTACTTGAATGTGTAATATTGTGAAATAACCAAAAGGAAGCAATTTAAACATTATCAATGGCACTTACAAACACGTAAATTACAAAAAAGTGGTCAAAATATGCATAAATAGTCTTTACTGCGTAAGTAACGCAGTAAAAATATAGTTGTAAATACTGAAAATTCAGACATTTTCCGCACATAATATGTAAAATATTTCTTGAATCTTGAAACTTTTTACTTTTCCTTACATCATAGTACATTTTTCTCAAGTTTGATTTTATTGAAATATTTCGACTCATCTGGAGGCATGTAGCTTTAAGTGAAACTTTGTCTAGTCTCATAACAGATGACATGCCTTTATATGAAAACGACATCATTTCAGGGGCTTTACCTCGTGACGATGATGCTGCTGAACCTTTTGGCGGGGTGACCTATATTTATGACAGCACTCAAATAATAGTGTGCGCTCCTCAACATGCCAATGGTGGTAATACATCATACGCTATTTATACAGGTAATTGATTGGAAAGGCGAATCTGTGTTGAAAAACTTAATACGTCATGTTGATAACTTATTTCTTAAGATCATTGTTCTTTAGGTTCATCTAACAAAAGAAAAAGAAAAATCTAAACTTGATAGTCCTGTGATAAATTGCAAAAGAGATTGTCTGAAAAATTAATTGACACAAAATGTGTTCAGTAATCGACTTAATTAACAATATTTCCCAGAGAATGGAGCTTTTTACGCCGGTGTGAACAACCAAAGTAGCTACAACGTAGAGGTACGAATCAGAGCTTGGAAAAAATCGTCACTACCACCGGCAGACTTTGAAAGGACGGGCATTCATATGACAGCAGGGAATACATCTAATGGTAAACTCCCTTTTTATCCTGAATGTCTAAGCTGAACTTATACTGCTTCCTGACTTAATTTATCCATAATCAATATTTGGGATATCAAGGTGAATCCTTCATTGTATAGAACCTAGTCAACATAAAGGGAAAGACCAATCACTGAATTGCATCCGAGTGAATACATTTATATTTTCTTAAAATCTAGCTGAGTCAACAACAACAACAACAACAACAACAACATAATGTATATATATCATTAAAACATAACATTTTTTAACCAAAGTTAACGATTAACTTTACGCAAAATATGTCATTAAACGGAATTATTAATAGATTTGCCAAGAGAAGCTAAAACTGTACGTTATTTATAAAAGTGAATTTAACTAGAATCAAGCTAACATATATTCCAATTTAAACCACAATAAATTACTAAAACTACTTCTTCAGACATTTGAAAAAGAATATTTTGGATGAATTTAACTGTAGCTGTTTTCATTCATTATCTGTACATAGACATCAGTCTGTCTAACTATTTAAAAGCCGGCCTCCTTTAAAATCCATTATTACTGAAGCTATCTGATATTTGATATTTTTTGGGATTTATGTACTATTTCAAGTAGATATAGATCATATTTTCAGATCATTTCCTCATCCACTTTTTGAATATAAAGTTTTATGCTTTTATAAAATTTATACTTATATACTTTTATATAATTTAACGCGTCGGACTAGTAATCTAAGGATTGCCAACCGCGCGGGTTCAAACCCTGTCAGGGGCAAGCCGTTGTTTCCTTGAGCAAGAAACTTTACATTCATTGCTTAGTACTGGTTAGTTCCAAGAACGGATTCGAGAGTGTTTCAATAAGCTTATAGCTTCCAACACAATCGAACTAAAATAAATTTGTTTAAACCAATGCTTTCATATTCTAAATAAAACGTATATATTTCAGTGTCAGATGTATATGTTGATGTGCAGCATGGGCTTAACGAGTATCCAGCGTTCATAATTGTAAGAATGAATCTTACTGACACCAGAGGGAAGTTGACCGCAATGTCGGACGCTGTTGGTAAGAACTAAATAGAATACTTACATTTATATATCGTTGTCGGACTTTCGTCTTGTCGTCCTGTCACTAGCGACAACACGCCAAAGCGCCAAACGGCGCGTTGTCGCTCTAACGCGGCACGCCAAACGGCGCGTTGTCGCGATGTCGCCCGGTCGCTTGGCTTATAAGCGCATCCTTCAATTTGGACAGAGCGACAATGTTACATCGCGACAACACGCCGTTTGCCATGCCGCGCTAGAGACAAGACGACAAGACGACAGCGCGACAACGCGCTGTTTATCCAGAAAGTGCCTTACGTTAATGTTAAAGCGATATAGAAGAACGAGAATATAAGGTGTAGGGAACACCCATCGATAGTTCCCAATGTTTTTACGAATATAAGAGACTCAGACTAGGGTAGTTTCGTTTTGAAAGAACAACATTTTAGAATACTTGTATCAAACCTTTTTAAGTTGTTAAGGAGAACAATAGGTCCGATCAAATTTCATTTAAGTATTGAATGTGTATTTATATTATCTTGTTTGCAAACATATCGCGTTATAGTGATGTTCATAATATGTAACTGTTACGCAATACTTTATTAATTGCAACAGGGGCGAACTTTGTAGTGTATACAGCTGGACTTTACCGGCAAAATTATCATATAGTACATGGCGTTAGCAAAGAAAGAATACGGGTTTGGATAGACTCACAGAATTGGGGTAAGAAATACTGTATTGAATGTTTTAAGAGTCGGATTGTCTCACATATTACGGTTAATAATATTGAACAGGTGTTTCTTATTGGTTGGGTTTGTTTACAGCATGTTGGTTAAAATAGTCATATTGTATTTATGGTTTGGTCGGGATTTGCTCAATTATTCACGATTCAGAATCAAGTCTTGGACACCATTGTACACATTATTTTGTTGATATTTATCGTTAATTTTAGTCTCATCAGCTTACATTTTACGTGTATTACACAAATACAGTATTCATGATACATTGGTCATTATCATCGTAAGGTAGAATCATAATAGACCACAATCTTCTAAGTACTATGTCAAGACTTTAAAAGTATTAACTAAAACTAAATATTCCATGGTTACCCTGTCAGACACTTAACATGACATTACGATGGGTAACATATACGCATTTTTTTCATATATTTTGGTCAAATTTCGGAAGTTGATCCATCTAACAAGCTTTCCTGGTAAATTAATCAGTAATTACCAATTTAATCGCAAGTGACCGACTTCTCATCTCGAATGATTTCTGAATCAACAATGAGAGACAGATGACCTTGAAACTTATGGAAAATTATGCCTCTCCGAGAATCGAACCAGCGGCCTCTTGATTACTTATCTGATGATCTCTCTTACTGACTCGCAATGTACAAAATGATACAATATACAATATTAAATATGGCTCCAGCGATGAAATTATATGTTAACAGGTAAGAATGGAAGTTTTCCTCGAAGGGTTTGCAATCGAAATTGCTAATAGTTTTTGAATGTAAGAAAACTTGTGAATGTGAAAAATATACAATAAGAAAATGTAAAATCATCCTTTAATTTTTAGCGTTCTTACATTTCAGTGTAATACTTTACTCACATTCACAATATACGAACGCTTTGCATGTTCCTCATTTATTTGTTATTTGATGGTTTGGTTTTGCTTTAAAGCGTACATATATGCGGGAGGTGATGGGTACGCTGTTAACTTCGCAGCCAAAGAAGGAGATTTAGAGATGTACGCCTGGAAATCTACATCAATGAATGAGCAAGAATATTCACAAACCTCACTTTGTCCAGACGATCCTAGCGAAACATTTGAGGTTCCTTACAGAAACATTGTTCAAAATCCATTAACACGTGCATGGGTAAAAAATGTAACATATTTATTAAACAAACAAATTCTTATTCATTCTGGAAAATTGCTGATTATATTAAAAAAGAGAGTTCCTTAACGTTACGAGGGCTGTTCGAAAAGAATTGCTTATTGTCCTCTATCTCGTGATTCATGTGGGACACGATAAAAACCAATACATACCTGTCTAGGGTAATTCAATACCTACAAAACGGTATATAAATGTACATGTTAGACTAAGTGTAAGACATACAATTTGTCATTTAAATACACGCAGTCATAGTAAAAATGGTTGGTAGAAGCGTCGACAATAAAGATGAAATACGGGGCTATCATGAAAGCTCGCTCAAAACTGGGTTGCTCTTCGAAGCAGTTGATGACTGAACTCTCTCCTGCTTATGGGCCTTCTTGTGTGTCTTATGACACAGTTAGGCCATGGAAAAGGAAATTTGAGTCTGGTGTAGAGTGCATCAAAAATGCACCAAAATCAGGTAGGCCAAAATCTGCATCTTGTAACGAAATTATTTCCAAAATAAAGGATATCATTGAAGGAGATGCCAGATTTACAGTTCGTGATATTGCACGAAAGGTAGGCATATCACTATCAACGGTTGACTTTATTTTGCAGAAGCATTTGAAAGTCAGAACGGTTTCTGCAAGATGGGTGCCACATCTGTTGACCGATGAGCAAAAGAGGCAACGGGTTAAGGTGGCCATAAAGCTGATTTAAATGTTTCCAAAATATGACAAAAAACAGTTTGCCAATATCGTCACAGGTGATGAAGCTTGGGTCCATTATTTTGAGCCCGTCAGAAAAGATTGCAACACAATTTGGGCCACAAAACACAACAAACGCCAAACGATCTTTGAGTGTAAAGAAGGTTTTGTATGCAATTTTCTTCTCTGGTGAAGGAGTTGCAAAAAAAACCCGGTGAAAAAGGGCAAAATATCACTGGGAAGTACTACAAAGATGTAGTACTTAAGAAACTGAAAAAGTATTATAAGTAACGACGCCCTGTCACCGGTTTTAAGCATATCCTTCTTTACACGACAATTCCCCAGCTCATACCTCCGCAATAGTTTTGGCGTTTTGAAAAAAGAAAAAGTAACTGTTTTGCCTCACCCCCCCCCCCCCCCCGTATTCTCCAGACCTTGCCTCATGTGATTTCTTTTTGTTTCCGAAATTGAAAAATCCTACCTTGCTGGGCGGAAATACAAGTCCCGACAGGCACTTGGATCTGCTATTCATCAGTACCTTATTACTGTGCCGAAATCAATATACCGTGACGCCTTCAAAAAGTGGATACATCGACTGAAACTTTACATTTCTAGCCACGGGGAGTACTTCGAGGGCATGAAATGAACACTTTTAAGACAACTTGAAATTTGAAGTCTCCAGATAGAAATAAGCAATACATTTCGAACATCCCTCGTACATAGTAATAACGTGTCTTTAGCAGAGGCAGAAATGTTATAAAGAATGGCCTGATTTATTGCAATGCAAATATGCATGTTACTTTTCTTATATTGTTTAGTCGGCTAGATGTGTTTAAGACGGAAGAAAAAAAGCTAAATAGAGGAAAAAATATACAATATCCAAAACGCAGATATTCATATACTCCAAACTAAATGTTTCAGGCGCGAAGTAACACGGGTCCAAACGCTGGTTTCCTATTTCCAGGAAGTGGTGCAATGGCCTTCGGGAGGACTATTTCCGACAGTATCTGTAGTTATGGGGGTCTTGTATATGCTTACAATTTTGTAAACATGCGTTTCTGGAGACCTACAAATGCGACAAATGGAGGGTTGATCTGCGTGTCAAATTTCTTTGGTAACGGAACGAATTCTCAGCGGTCAGTCGATGCAGAAATCATAATGCGTTCCTGGGGAGTTAAATCCAAGAGTAAGTGGATTCTTATATTATTTGATATCACGATTATTTTTCTATTTTGTTTTTTGTTTGTTGTTGTTTTTGTTGCTGGTTTTTGTTGTTGTTTTTTTTTGTTTGTTTTTTTTGTTCTTTTTTTTTTTTTGGGGGGGGGGGGGGGGGGGTGGTGTTAATTTTATGACCTATTCGACATAATGTTGTGACATACTAGTACCACGACTTTACGCCATACTTAAATCTCTATAAAATTTCAAAATGATGTCTGAAACTGTTTTATGAAAATTTGTTAAATAATTAAACTTCTTATCAAAATATTTTCAATCGGATTATGTTTGGCAATAACATGCATTTCTTTTATAATATACCTGTACACATTTTGAAATTCTAGAAAATAAAATACAATATAAAGAAAACGGAATGGCATAGGTGACTAAATACTATTGCAATACTGTTAAAAACATTATATTGTATTAAAACAAATACGAGGTGATATGTAATAAGAGGACCATTGTAACAGTGTTTTGATGTAGACGTTATTCAGCACCACGCATGCAGGGACGACTAGGAAATTGTGCTTGGGTGCCTGAGCCCCTTGCACAGAGTGACGGCTTGAAATGCAGGGCTTTTGCTTGGCACCAACAGCCCTTTTCAGGGTTACCTCTTTTTCATATTGATTCATGAAACTGTACATCCAGGCTCTCATTGGCCGCCATACAGTGACCTTCTTTTGGGTTAAAATCCATATATTTGCCTAATAATCCTTGGAAAATTGTATGGAGGTAAATTATTACCACTTACAATTAACCCTTTAAGGGCATGACTAGTGAGTGACACGTACTCGACAGCGAAAGCTTGGGTTTTTTTTTTTAGATTATCTGATGGATCCTCATTAAACCATAGTATATGTACTTTAGATCACATAGTTTTTACTAGGAAGGATCGGATCGCACTTAGCTCTTTTACGGAATTTCATTGTAGCAAAATCGGGTAAAGTATAAGTATCCACTTATATCCTTGGTTCGGAGGTAAAATAAAACCTTAAAAACTTGACTTTAAATACTTCATTTTAGTATCATATTTGAACAGATAAAGCGAAGTGTACATTATTATTGTAAATAAAGTATGTGTACTTATTTTGGTATATGGTTTAATACGTGAAAACACGAAGTTGTTCAAAGTTATACGGCCAATTGTTAGCTGGAATACCTTTACTACCTTACATGAATAAATTAATCTATTTTCTAAGCGGTTTTTGTAATTTCTATTTTAAACATTGATATTACATAGTAGTTCTTTTAAAATTGCTCATATATAGATTCTTTTCAGGAAATAGCCACAGGTGGACAGTAGAAGTACCACAAGACAAGTGTATCCGAACCAAACCAAAGAATTGAAGACATACATGAGCTGTTGAATATTTATCACCTCACAAGTCATAGCAATGACTTGGCAACTTATATATTTCATAATTACAAAAATGCCATGACTCTGTTAACCTAGAAAACTTGTGTTTACAATTTTTTGGCAATGTTTCTGTCCATAACTGAGTAAATGGGTAAATAATGCTACTGACAAGAATCGGAGCCGGGGGCATTTGTGTTTTCAAACACGTTCTTGTTTATTGTGTATTAGATTAAGATGTCTTTTTTAAACATTTCTTTTCATATAAAACAAATAAATATTGCTTAGTTTAGTGTTAGATCGATATTTATTTCTCTTAGTGAACACCAAAAGTTCATATTGCACTCGTGGCTGCGCCACTCATGAAACATACCTTTTGGTGCTCACCTGGTGAAATCAAGTCCGATCTTACACTGATTAACAAATATCCCCTTTATTATAATATTTTTTAACTGTCCACGCCATTTGGCTATATTGTAGTTGATAAGTGTATTGTTTAACAAAAATGTACTGGGTGTCTTTTAAATCCTGTAAATTGTAGTCGGAATATTAATTAGATTTAGCCTGTTTAAAAGTTTGAATTCTATTCATTAGATTAACCAATACAGTTTGTTTTGTTAAGTTTTTACAAAACAAGTAAAAAAAACGACAGGGCAGTAAGAATTTTTCTTTGGCAAATATCTACTTGGTGATCCGAAACATTTAGGATATTTTTTATCATATCGTATCATATATTAGATTACTTATTATGTGATTTTGTTTTGTTTAAATCATAATTATTTGTTTTATTTTCTTGTTTGTTTTTACATGTAAATGTTTTCATCAATTAAAGGTGCTAAAAAAGAAAACATGCTTTTTAATCTTCTCTTACGTACATGTAATACATAGTATGCTTGTGTCTGGTCATATCGGGTAAACGCTTGGATGTGAAAGTAACTCTGGAATTGTACGAAAAGTAATGGAAATCTTTTTGCATCTTTACAAAGTTGCAAAAGTGTTTTATTTAAATGCTACTATATTTATTTATTTTTGTTTGTTTTTCTGGATTTTAAACGATTTCAAAAAATATTTAGTCCACCTTATCATTTTTCCTGTAAATACTAACCAGTAATTATAATAATTTCTCCAGAAATGGCCGACTGATACATATCTAAATAGGCAGTGAGAGACAAACACTATTAGACTCGATGTCCGAGATCAATTGCGACGAAAAAATTTTCACTTCACATCTAATAACAAGCCAAAAAATCTTACAACAATCAACAACCCCTGCATTACGAATCCTTAATCTTAGCTGGTGGAAACATGTAGAAAAGTGGTCAAGGTTGTTCACTTTATCTCAAATGATTGTTGAGATTAGAATAACGCCTCCCCTTCGCATAGTCAAGCTTATGAAAGTGTACAACTTTGTGATTATTATAATAGATTTTACACTGTTTTGAACTTGTTGTTACTATGTTTTATATATATGTGAAAGTGATATGACATAAGAAATGGATAGACTCAAGGGTTTCAAATATTGCTATCTTATTCGGAAGACCCAAGTTGTCCTCCGAGGACCATTCAAAGAGAAAGAGCAGCTTGGTAGAACCACTGGTCTTCTGTAAGCCAGCTTCCAGAAGGAAGCTCAACCAATTATCAATGAAAGGCAAACCATCTTAACCACTCAGTCAGACGCTCTGATTATTTTAACCATAGATACTCAAATCTGGTGCCATTTGTAATCTTACTTTTTTATCCCAGCAGTTACTTCCCTTTGACAATTTTGTGCCATTTGTAATGTTACTTTTGTCTTCAGCTGTTACTTCCCTTCGACAATCTGGTGCCATTTGTAATCTTACTTTTATCCCCGCAGTTAGCTCCCTTTGACAATCTTGTGCCATTTGTAATCTTACCTTAATCCCCAGCAGGTTCTTCCCTTTGACAATCTTGTGCCATTTGTAATCTTACTTTTATCCCCAGCATTTACTTCCCTTTGACAGCCTGGTGCCGTTAGTAATCTTACTTTAATTCTCCTTTGACAATATTGTGCAATTTGTTATCTTACTTCTATCCTTAGCTGTTACTCCCCTTTGACAATCTTGTGCCATTTGTAATCTTACTTTTATCCCCAGCATTTACTTCCCTTTGACAGCCTGGTGCCGTTGGTAATCTTAATTTAACCCCCGCAGTTTCTTCCCTTTGACAATATTGTGCCATTTTTAATCTTACTTTTATCTCCAGCAGTTACTTTCCTTTGATAATTTTGTACCATTTGTAATCTTACTTTTATCCTCAGCTGTTGCTTCCCTTTGACTATCTGATGCCATTTGTAATCTTACTTTTATGCCCCACAGTTACTTCCCTTTGACAATCTGGTGCCATTTGTAATCTTACTTTAAACCCTTTCAGTTTCTTCCCTTTGACAATCTTGTGCCATTTGTAATCTTACTTAAATCCCTTGCAGTTTCTTCCCTTTGACAATCCTGTGCCATTTGTAATCTTACTTTATCTCAAGCAGTTACTTCCCTTTGACAGTCTGGTGCCATTTGTAATCTTACTTTATCTCCAGCAGTTACTTCCCTTTGACAATCTGGTGCCATTTGTAATCGTAAGAGTTGTTAATTCCTCAAAAATGTGACTTCCTTTTCAAATATAGACTTTAATATTTAGTAAACATAACACAAACACTATATATAAAGATGGATCATTTTATTTATCAACAAAAGGGGCTGATCAGCAATATAACAATGCCATTAATGACTAAAACCTTTGGTCAATGTGACCCATTTCATCAAGTGTTTTGATGGTATTAAATAAGGCTATGCAAGTGATTTCAAATATTTCCAATTATAGTAATTTTCTGAAGTTGAAGCATTTGCACTTATATTTCTTCCAGTCAGTTTTGTGAGTTTTATAAAAAATATATGATACCAGATTTTAGCAAGAACCATATACATGTATGGTTATTGATATTTAAAAAAATGCAAATAAACTAAAGAGAAACTTCATTTAAGTTGATTTAAAATCACTTTTGTTTAGCCCCTTTTAAACTACAGTATGAAATATACATTCATATTTTTATCAAAACAATTTATCGACTAACAACATTTTCAAATATGATCACAGGCTTGGCAAAATAAATAAATAAATAATAAAACTTTAACTAATGTTGAATGTGGTCCATTCACTCACTCACTCATACACCCACAAATATGCCTAGATCAAAGCTTGGAAAGGATGAAAAGGGGTTGGGGCAAACTAAAATACAGTTTGAAAGAACATGTCTCTCAGTTAAAAAGGGAGACAACAATGTACATGAATTAATACTGAGAATTTTTTAACCTAAAAAATTAAGTGAATTTTTTAAACCTAAAAATCAAGTTTAAAACATGTAACAACAAACTGTTAGAGTGCCAATTTATCACACTGACAAATTTTCAGGACATTTTCTAAGTTTCCAAGTAAGAAGAACATACTAATGGAAAATGCAATTCAAGAATTGTAATATCTTGGCCTCTTGAATACTTTTATTTAAAATTTTAAATTAATATCTACACTAAATTTAAAGACAAAGAAATACTATCGCAATTGGACGTAACAAAGTGATTCCAAGACAGCCTTCCCTAACACTGAATGGTGAAGGTATAAAAATTCATGCTAAAAGCTACAAAATACAACAATAATAAGTTAATCATAGGGCTATGTACAAATAAATTAAGAAAACAAAATTAGCCTAAAGTTTTTATACAACCTATTGTTTAAAAGTATCAACATAATGTAGCAATATAACGTGTCCCCCTCGTGCAGTTACAGGTTAACTCCTTATATAATTTAATAGGTGTTAACCAGTTACTGCACTAAGGTGACAAAGTATCTGACATGAATTGGAGTGGAAATTTCTGACAACATTAAATACATTTCAATTAACCAGATAGAAATTGAACATTTTAAAAAGACATTTTGCCATGTTTTCTCGTTAATTTGATTCTATATTTCAAAAATCTATTAAAACCTTACTTTAATCTTGTAATTTATAATTAATGATTTAAATTTACCATGTATTTTAGTCACTGAAAAACAAAGTAAATATATCAAACATTTGGTTACTTACAACTACCATTTCTTATTTCAGATTTTTTAGGTAAAAATGTTTTAAGATTTCTGTGTAAATCATGTGGTGCCAAACTGACATAACAGAATAATGACATTCTATATTTAATGAAGACATCTGGCAAATCATGTGAAATTATCGTATAGTTATTACTTTGAAAATGTACCTGTACTGGTGAATAAATAACAGAGCATAATAAACATTTTTTGGCATTAAATAATCATGACATATTTATGGCCAAAGAAGCTATGAATTATAAAAAAGTAGAAATAAAACATGAAATAAAAATACCAAATATATTTCATCACAAGATATATAAATAATTTGGCAGCAGCTTGTCAAACACTGGTATTCTCAACCCGAAATCAGAATATCTCTGTAGGCGAAAGTAAGAATGCAACATTCAATCTTGAAGATCAACAATATGTCACACTCATTCCAAAATTATATTCATTTTATTAAACTGAGAAGAGTTTAAAATTAAGTTTCTCTTTTAACATGTCACTACTGTATGTGCAAAAGGGGAGCTAAATCATTGAATGATTTCACTTAAGTATCGTAGCAGTTATATGCCCTTAAATTAACTGAATGACATTCATACTAACAGCATGGTTAAATGACCTTGGAATTACATATCCAAATAAGTCTAGGATAGGGAAATGTTTCATGCAAGCTTCATAATAACCAGTGTTGCATCTGGAATTTAAAATTATTGGGGATTGTCCCCCACTCAACTGAAAAATGTGGGGGATTTGGAAAATGTGTCAGGCATACATTTACCTTACAATATGACGTACCGATTTATTTAACTTTAAGGCATTTTTGACAGCTATCGTGCGCTCAAAAACGGAAGTAGAAAAAAATAAAATATTGACAAATACTACAAAACACACGCGACATGACCCAGTCTGCTGCTACACGCGATTTAGTACATATTTTAGTCATAACCCGGAGTGAAAACAAACATGGCTGAAGCATTCAATATACGATGAAGATAAACTGAATTAAGTTGAAAAGATCGTCATATGCACGATTGGCCCGCATTGACTTCATTAAAATGCGCGATCTGCATAAAAAATGCTCAAATCGCGTGGCCTAGATGCAACACCGAATCACAGTATCTAGTTGGTGTTTATGAAATGATAATAGATGAAAAACAATATCATTGTTATATAATATTCATTCAAATAGACATTATCCTTACTCGGGAAATGTGGGTTTTCCCCACATGATCCGTAGATACAAACAGACTTTTACCGCTATAGCTTCATGGTGCACTACCCGTCACAAGAGAATTGTGAACCTTTACCTTATTTTCCAAGCTGTAACTGTAAAAGTTTGTTTATAACTACAGATTAACCTAACAAAAACCCCAAATAGTCTTAATTCTGGAGATAGTCTATTAATTTGAAAGTCAGTCCTACATAATCGGCTATATATTGACAATTATTCATACATTTTCTAAAATTGACATTCAAGTCTCTGCCCATTTCTACAGTTTTAGTTACGATATGATTTTATTAAGTGAGTTATAGCACTTATTAACTGTTGCACATATATGTCATGTGATAGTTATGGCACATTTCCTGCAATAAATTTTTTTTCACATTTGTTACGTGTGATTTTGATAGAGCAAAAAAAATTTAAAATTAATGAAAATATTTCTATCTATCCATCTAGCAATAACAGCAGTGAGCAATAGGCTTACAACAGTAAAATGTTACTATTAAGAAGTCTATTCATCATGTACATGTATGGTGATATCAACTGTATAAAAAATATCTTTCATACATAAAATACATGAAATGACAAAATAATAATTTGTAAACAAAAAATGAAGACCAAAGATAAGCCACAAGCAAAAACTAAAAAAGCAAAAGCTCTACTTTCCTTTTATTAAACTACATTGTGTAGATTTGAAATTCTATAAAGATTGCCAAAGTTAGGAAATTTTTTAGAAATAAATAAAAAATTTAAATATAAAATTTACAAGGTACTGGCATAATGTGATAAATCTCAGCTTTGTGACATATAGATTGTTTTTCTGAGCAATATAATGTGTTCCTCTCTTCTTCTGCTGCAGCATCAAATATGCTGACATCACTTCCTCTTTGATTTGATTGGTTCCCAGTAATATCAAAGCCAGCCAATCAATATCAAGTATTCAAACTGAGGCTAAGGCAGGTACACCTGGTTCCCTAAAATCTAATTCCTCCATTGTTATGGATCTAAACACAATCATGTATGAACATTTCACTTCCATGTATAAATCTAAACAGTGCTTGCAAAAACTGGCAAGGTTCTTCATGTCTTAAATCTGTTAAAATTCTACTAATCTATAAATAAATTTCAAGATGGGCATGGATGTAAAGATTCCCTTCCTTGCAAGCATTAATTCCCAGTATACCAAAAAAAAACCTATTCCGGAATATCTAAATTTAGACATGATGTAATTCATATCTAGCTGCCACTGATTCAATATAACTTAAAAAAAATCATCCACCAGCACTAACAATATTAACTATGACTAAGAGAGGCATTTCTTTCCTTAAAAAATTAATTCCTTGTACAAAAAAAAAACTTCTTTGCAGATGTTGCTATGGCAAGTTGAAACTCCATTCCTGCTGCCATGGTTTCCATTTGTTCTAGAAATTGACCAATCATTACTGAGATGAAATTCAATTCCGGTTTCCATTGGTTCCCTTTGTTGTACCAATTGACCAATCATTATTGAGGATCTGGATTTAAACATGATGAAATCCCTCTCCAGCTTCGGCTGGTTCCCTGAACTCTGAGTGCCAGCCATTCGTTTGGATTGGATACATGGCTAATTTTGTCCTCACTTTCATACACTGATCTCTCACCTTGAATATAATCCATTGAATTGTATTCACCTGTAAAGTAAAATGTAATATTATAAGAATCTTACACCGGCTGCCGGTACAGACCGGAATATCTAGCTCGAGGGTAACTGTTTACAGCGGTAACGAGGCTCTGCCGAGTTTCCGCTAAACAGTTACCCGAGCGCTAGATATTCCCGTCTGTACCAACAGCCGGTGTTTGTTTCTTTTTCTTGCATATTAAATGTCAATTATTTTCTGAACAGAAATTATGAAAACTGATAGTCTCATTACGCACTTTTTTCTTATAGAAGCGTATGAACATTCAACTTCATTCATAAATGACGTCATCCTAAGAACGCGATTCATTCATAAAAGGCGCGCGTCAATGACGTCATTTGAAGCTCGCAACTTGTCTTACATGGGGGGTGTAAGACAGAGTTTTCTAGCACCAATGTAAACGGTAGATAATCCTGTCTGAGATGCAAGAAAAAAATAAATATAATATTGTAGGTTACCAAATAAAATCTATCTGGGTTGTAAACTTCCAATTATCATTATTTATATATGTATTTTGACAGTAAAATGCCATAAAAGTTTTTCTAAAATCGGCAAATAATTAATATTTAAATGCAAATATAGCTAAAATGGTTGAGATATTTACATTTTGTAAAAAAAAAGGTACTATCAATTAAGATTAAGAATATTTTGGAAAAACTGCTCTTTTCTTGTTCACAGCAAAAAAGTGTGAAATTTCAAGTCAATATCTTCATTGGTTACTTTCACAAAATGTTTTTGCAAGAGCTATTGGTTTTGGACAGCAACCTATCATTTCTGACCATATGTTTAGTTTTGAGTCAATACTTTCAGCAGTAAATGAGCCTCCTCACCAAGTGTCACTCGGTTACTGACACCAGGGCTAATACAGAAGCCACACTACTCCTTTATTTATTAACATAATCCAATTAAAAAATAAATCTTACTATTTTCAGACGCAGATCCTCTGAACTTGCTGGAAGATCGCTTGAATGGCTGCTTCATTAGGATAAGCACAACACCACTGAGTGTTTTAAGTACTGGCAGATCTAGAATGCTTTGTTGTACCGTTTCCATGACAATACTCTGATGTAACCATGACTTCATGTACTTTACATCACAACCTAGTTGACATGCCCCTGTGTAACTGTGGTAATGAGAGCATAACAAAAATTATGAAATATTTTCAGCATCCATGATTATTCAAACTGCCAAGAAAAGTTCAAGATTTTTTTTATATGAAATTTCTGTTTATGAGCCCTGTCTATCCATCATTCCTAGTTTATCACCAGTATAACTTCCACCATGCTGTTACAATACTTGCCATGTCTTGATCTAAATTTCAAATTGATCATTCTTAGGAAAATTTTTAAACTAAAATTCTTGGGCGATTTCAATACTAAAATTCTTTTCAGTGCTAAAATTTTCAATTCTTAGCCATATTCAATACTAAAATTGTCCGTCATTTGCCAATTGCGATACTAAAATAATAAGTAAAATTGTCCATTCTTAGCCATATTCAATACTAAAATTGTCCATTATTTGCCAATTTGGATACTTAAATTGTCCATTCTTAGCCAATTTCAATACAAAAATTATCCATTCTTAGCCAATTTCAATGTAAAATTGTCCATTCTTAGCCAATATCAATACAGAAATTTACCTTTCTTAGCTAATTTTAATACTAAAATTGTCCATTCTTAATCCAATTTCAATACTAAAATTTCCACTATTGCAAATTTCAATACAGTAATTAGCAAACTCTTATCATCACTTATTCCATCTGACAAAAAACAAAACAAAACATTACTAGACATTTTTCATACCAATATATGAAAATAACAAAATTGGATTAATCTTAATAAAAATTTCAAAAATACAGACCTAAATTTGATTTTTTTCCTGATATAAATACATCCATGCCTACCAGTCCTCAGTTGAATGGAATAACACTGTTGTACCGCTCTTTAACTTGCTAAACCCCCTAAAATAGGTCTTTAAAAAGGTCTTAAGGCATGTTCATTATATTTTTTCCCATATTTTTGAAAATAAAAAATTTTATATTTTATTACCTTTGTACTGGGGGATTGAATGGTTAAATTCAATACTAAAATTTTTTAAATGGGGGGTAAAATTTTTTTAACAATGGGTTTAAAAAATTTGTATGAACCTTAAACTTTTAAATTTTCTTTATCCCTTACCCAAAAAAATTTTTAAATTTAAAAAAAAAATTTTTCAAAAGGGCCACCCTAGTAAAGTAAAAATTAAACCTCTTTTACCTAAAGGGCACAACGCCACACACACACATAATTCTTGGTCCCAAAACCCTTTTTTATCAAAAAAACCCCAATTTTTGGGTTTTTTTCCACATTTATTGAATGGCCTTTTTATTTTTTTAAAATTTTCAATATCTTATCATTTGGATTTTATATTTCTAAATACATTGCTGATTCTAAATAGATTTACATATGATACAAACATTACAGATTAAAAATAATTTCAGCTTTTGAGCTAAGTCATTTAACTCATAGCCTGCTTGCATCAACGCATTTTCCTTATGCTGTCTCATTATGGTCTGCTCTGATTGCTATTAAGTCAATGCTTACTTTGAAAATTTCCCTAAAAATAATAAATGGTTTAATCCATACTCAAAGATGGACAAGTCCAGTAAAAATATTTAGCAGGGTAGGTGTTAACCATGTTCTGCATGTACAGATATATTCAACAAAGGCAGTAACTATTTAATACACTACATGTGGTGAAGTTTTCAAAAAATGACATCAAAGATTTGCCATAATCACTTTCTAAATTTTTTAAAAAAGTCCCTGGTTTACTAATAAAAAAGTTTATTTGCCAACTTACTCTTTACTAGAAACCAGAAAGGGTTTCCTAAATATCTGATATAGAGAAAATAACAACCCAACAAAAGTTTGTTTTGTTTTCGTAAAAAGAGTTCAAATTTTGAATATTACATAAGATTGCAATCCTTGGCACTTCAAATCAAAACATGATTAAGTGATAATCTGCAACTTCAATTTTCAATTACGTTTTAGATATTTTTTTGATATTATTTCAAGAAATTTTATGTAAATACAATTGATATGAATCCTGGCATAGTTACCTGCTTCTGGTTTTTTCCTCCACACTTTTCCAACTGGCATATTGCCTTTGAAATATTCCATCGCAGAACTCGTACAATTTCTTGAGAATTGTTTCATACTAAGGCTAGACAGTCCCTGAAAACATACAGAAACAATGTTGTGTTAATTTGGAAGGCACAGATAGATGAACAGTGAGATTTTAATAAGCCACCCTTTTGGGGGCATAACAAAGTATCTTTATGACATTGAAAAAAATATCTTTCTGTATTCGATTTAACGACCTTTTTATCTTTCTGGTTATATAGAAAATAAAAGTTTGTTATATTGAACACTATCATGCTTAATACTTTAATTGGATTGATGATACTAATACTCTCAGTCTGATTGTTTGACCTGGTTTCTAGGCCAATGCTGAAACGTTTTTTGGTCAATATATCTGCGGCTCATCCAGCTAACCAGCTTTCCTGGCTAACTAACCAGTAATTATCAATACCTCAACAAGTGACCCTCTACTAAAACCACATGATTTCTTAATCAACGACAAGAGAGACCAACTATCATAAGTCTGAGACTCCGAATGTCAGAGATCAATTGTCGCAAAGAAATTATGCCTCTCCCGAGGATCAATCCAGTTTCCCCGGGATTACAAACTGGTAGCTCTCTCTATTTAGCTTAGTGGGCAGACTGTAACAATCGACTAAAGCTTACTTTCAACTATCAGTGCTTTAAAATACTAAAGAAGTAACTGCTCAAGAAGAGGATAATAATTACCTGTAGACTGTCCATTATTGTACTGAGCTGGTTTGCGATCTGACCTAATCCTATGACCGAATCGTGACCTACTTTTGATGACAGGGACTTGGAGACCATCTGAGTTTGGTATAGAGCAGATCGGGACTCGTCAATCAAAATCTGAAAAATTTTTTTTTTATAAAATTTACAAAAAATATATATCATATCCCAAAATTTTAAGGGAGAACTTAATGGTCTTCCTGCTGATTAATTTTTTTTATCTAAGAACAATTAATTCTTTATTGTAAAGCTTCTGTTCAATCTTAAAATAAATCTTAATAGATGGTTTAAAGGGTATAAAGCTATATCTGACGAAATATTTTTATAAAATTTATAAATGGTAAAATTATGTTGTTTTGAACACTTTATGATCATTTCTCAAAGGATAACATAGAATTTTTCGGTAATCTAACACACATAAAGCTGTATGTAAAATGGATAAAATGTTCCGGAACAAAATATTATGGTGTTATCTAAAACAACTTTTTAAACCATTACGCAATGATTTTATGCATGCGCGATTACCTCAAAAGGAAATAAACGAACATATTTCTTTCATACGAAATTAGAATTATTCTTTTTCAAAATTCAAACAAAAAATTTGAAAACTAAAGGCAGCAGAGATATAGATTTATACACTTTAACACTCATCAGATAAACAAATAAGGACAAAGGAAAGGCTACTTCAGTAACATAGAAGACAACGCAATTTCTAAATACCTCTCGACTTTACAAGGATTGATAATAATTCATATTTGGAATATCTATTGGTGAGCCAAGTTAGTCAGTGACTGACCCACTCAGTCGGTCAAATTTTTATAATACCTCAATTCATGAATGTAATTTAATGTAAAGTCCTACCTACATTTTTTTTTAAATCTGAAGCACAAGAACAATTAATTTTTCATTTTTAGTAAAAACGATTAAATTACCTTTAAGTCAGTTTGCGAAATGAGCAGGAAGTTGCCAATGGCCATTGATGCCAGATATTGATGTGTTTTATTACGACACCATAGCAACGAAACACTAGATGTCGCCACCAGTCTTGATGCCACGGCAACCATCTCATTTACAGATGCTGGTAAACCTGAAATACAAGAAAAATTGCCAATTTATACATACAAACGACACTTTAAAAACATCATCTTTCGAGGTTAAGGTCATTTTTCTTTAGATTGGAATAAAGCAGACTGTCGGGTCAAGGCAAAGGCAAAACTACCATAATCTAATTAACTTAAAGATGAAATATAAAATAATATTGCTATCATGACCTAATGAACTATTGCAATAAAACTTTGTATTGTATTGGAATCAATTCTTTACCCTCTTCAAATTGCTTCAGTGAAAACAACACATCATATTTCATGTAAACATTGTGACATACATACATCGGTAAATCAAATGATACAACATTCTGCTTGTAGAGATAGCATGAAATCAGTATGTAATAAACCATCCATCCTTTGCCAAATTTCATTGTTTTGCTTAGTTTTAATGTTCTTTTATGTAATACAAACATTATGATAGTCTTATGGCAACTTTCAAGCTATACTGGTGGAAAAAAAGTCCAGGCACCCCTCCGCATTTTTCAGGGCACAAAAAGGCCAACTCTATTGAAAACTGAAATTCAAAGATCCCACAAGAGTCTCAAACACTCACCCCCTGGGGCCGGATCGGTGTTTTCACCAAGGTTTTCTCTGAGCAGGTTGAGCACCGGTTGGAAAGTATCTCGTAATAGCATTCCGGTTCTCGTACTGTAATCTCCGTCCACTAGAGGGCAGGGGTAACATTTGTCACGTCGATTAGAGGCTAGTGCTTCACACATCACTGAAAAAATCATTCATATTTTTATATAAAATCAAAATAGATTAAAACTTTTCAAAAGACAATCTGGTCACTAAGGCTAAGCCACAATGCAAAGTACAGTTTTCGTTCATTTGAATTGTTTTACAGGCTTCTACACCAATTTATAATTAACATAGCCTATGCTAGGGGGCATGAGGGATGTTGCACTTATTCATAATCCCTCATGTACAGACTCAATCAAACAGAGCCTGCAATCATAATGTAATTTTGTTGTGATTAATGCTTCCGAGGGATCACTTTGTTTCCAGATTTTTTTGGTCATATCTCGGCAATTGATTGCCTTATAATTATGCTCTCCTGGATAATTAACTAGTGATACCCACTATCTCCCCAAGTTACAGATTCCCAATCTTACATGATTTCTGAATCAGCAGTGAACAAATATAACCATTTAAGACTTTATGTCTGAGATCAACATTCAGGAAGAAATTTCTCCTTGGCCAAGGAAAAAACACCTACAAAAAACATTTTCAAAGATACTAGTGAAGTATAGAACAAAGTATAGATTTTTTTAACTTGGAAACTTGCCTCCCAACTTGAAAGGAGCATAAAGTAAAATAATGACACTATTTTAGCTTTAATATTGCACTTATAGAACTAGGATTCCACATGCACATTTAATTTTCTTGTACATAGAGGATATTGAATGAGTGTAGGTTTAATACTAAATTTATTGAACGAGTTGAATAAAATCATAGTATGCGAGCCTCTGGCGAGCATAATATTGTTTTATTCAACGAGTTCAATAAATTTAGTATTGAATCTACACGAATATAATATTCTATTTATCACATATATAAAATAAGAACGGTAAACTGTTTAACAAGAGTCATAAATTTTTCTTTGACGCACCCTATAGTTGTTAACGGCTTAACTAGCGCCGCTTAACATGCTATGTTAAATAGTTGCAAATGACGGGACGTCAAAGTGTTATTACACTAGTGTAATTTCGTCTAGTGTAATATTGTTTTATTAAATGGCTTTATTACACTCCTGCGCCGCGGTTTATGTGATAAATGTAAATATATATAAAATCAAAAACACTAATTTAAATTTGCTGTAGCATTTGTCCTTGCAGCTTTCTTCAGCAGCATTTATTATACATACAAGGAGGCCGTAAGGTCAAAAGCTACAGCAAAGTTAAATTGACGTTTTTTTATTATATTTGGCAACTTAGAGATTTTATATAATTTGTATAGTTAAATTAGTACTTTTTATTATATACAGCAAGTTAGAGATTTTATATATTATATATGTGATTGCAGAGATTTCAAAACCTAATATTATTGGTCAGGCAACAGTGTAAAGAATGGTTGCATAGATCTACCAACATTAAAACTCCTACCTCATTTCTTGAAGGATTTAACAAACTTACTTGTATCCCAGGCTCCAAAGGCTGAAGTATGGAGACATTTTCTAGCTGCATTTAACATTGGTACGACACTACCAGGTGGGAACAAATCTGTAAAATATAAAAATTATCTCTACATTTACATTGGTAAAAGATTTGAACAAGTACCTTATTTAACTGCCCATAAGACAAGTTATATAAAACAAGACTTTATAATAGCCAGTCTGTCTTGTTGATGAATGAATTATGGCCCTTGCTAGAACAATTAACACTCCATTTTGGGGAATGTCTAATTATTCTTATATTAAGTTAAAATTCTTAAAATTTTGAAACATTTATGTTGAAAATTATCTTCAATATATTACAGAAGCCTGAATTCATATATTGAGAGTAAATAATAAACAGTCTTATTTTATATATTGTAGTAAATAAAAATTCTCAACAAAAATTTAAAGTGTGTACAATTTAAATTGTCTGCTTCTATTGATTTTTTGTTGTTGTCCCCCCCTCACACAACTTCAAGGCCCTAAGCCTCTTCACAGTGTTATCAAAAACATCTCCTTAAACACTTTAATGTAATTTAATTAAAAAGAAGCATAGAAAGAGCTGAAGAGCTGTTGGAATAAAAATGATAACAGAACCCGATTAACCCTTAGCCATCAGGTGGCGGCGTAATCTACTCATGTGACCAGTGCAAACCAAGATCAGCCCGGTATATCCAGTAGGTATATCTGAGCCGTCTCATAATGGACTACTTTGTTCGCTTATTCTTTTTTTCATAATTTAGCCACTTAAATCTTTTTTTTTTGTGGAAGAGAATAACAATTATTCTACAAGTCTGAAAGGAATATTTATTCCAGGGATGTGTTCATTAATATGTTCACATTATACACAGCGGGGAGTTACTTGTACAAGCAATTAGTGATAATTTTCTGTCTACTGTAAAGAGCTATACAGACTGCGGCCTTTTATGAATGTCAGACGTTTCCTCAAGAAAGTCTTATAATCGTACAATAATTATAAATAATAGATAACTACATTTCCATCAATGCAGCCCTGTTTATTATACAGTATATTTCCCTGACGGCATTAGAATGAGACCGTATAAGAGAGAAATGTAAGTTTTACTTGAGCCTAAATCCTTAGTACTCTCGCTGGGAGCTGAAATAATTTGTCTGTGACAATTTAATTTGTACAAGAAACAGAAGCATCATTAACTATATACTAGCATTTACCATGCTTAATCTAAATTTTATCCTGCCCACTCTAAATATCTTAAATGGACTTGTCCATCTTTCAATCTGGACAAAAACATTCATTAATTTGGGGGATTTTTTTTAATTGGTACTGACTGAGTAGCAATCATGGTTGTGATCTATGAGGGGCTCAAACTAAATTATATATGGACTAAGCTGTAAACACCACTATATGCTAGAGGTTACTTTTGAAATTGTATCTTATTGTGATTTAAATTTGTTATACTTATTTTTCAATTGTCATACTTATTATTTTTCCATATTTATATATTCTTTCAACTCAAATTATCAAATTACTATACATATAATAATATGTCCAATTTATTTCTTTATCTTTTATTATAATAATAAATATATGTATATCATAAGTAAGTTCTGTGTTCTTAAAGTTGCACATATCATAATACAAACAACACCTGTCACCATGCAAAAAAACATGCACACCATAATTTGTGATTACATACACAAACCCATTCATATAACGCACTCTAGCAATGCAAACAACCCCAAAAGAGAAGCACAAACAACATGCAACACAAGAAAATAATGAATATCAATTTTGCAAATTTCTAATTGATTATGTAACAAACCAAAGACGCATACAACTGATAACCCTAAAGCTGTTGAATTTCTTATACTTGTACTTATATTTTGCCTTCCATTTTTGAAACTGTTTATTATCAATATAGGATATAGAAGATGACAATTTCGAAAATAAGTCACCCAACAGTATAGAGTCTGGTCAGACCCCATAAATGTGCAGACAGGCCTGGCTCTACACTGGTGGTAAAGGCTTATTTAATCTTCCTTATTTGGCTTCAAGCAGGATATGCTGGTAAAATATCTTTAAATATAGCACTACTATACATGTACTAGTATATATATCCACAGGAGCTTGACATTCTATCAATAATAGAAAAATATAAGCAAATAATTAAGAAATAACGCCAAATATACCCCTCTATACTATAAATATTATAGAGCTGGGGGCGTTTCAATAATAATGAGTCATGACAAAACCAACATAATGGGTTTGCGACCAGCATGGATCCAGACCAGCCTGCGCCTCTGCGCAGTCTGATAAGTATCCATACTGTTCGCTTACAAACCCTATTACAAGTAGAGCAACTGATAACGAACAGCAGGGATCCTGGTCAGACTGCGTGGATGTGCGCAGGCTGGTCTGGATCCATACTGGTCACAAACCCACTATGTTGGTTTTGTCATGACGCGGCTCATTATATCGAATTAATAATATTTCTTGTTTATTTGAATATTTTTCAATTATTAATAGAATGTCAAGCTCCTGTGATATATCATAACCATCACTCAAGCACTACAATTCACTTGAAAAGTTTAGCAATAAATACATGAAATAAATAGTATAAAGCTTGACCTATAGTATTACAGTTTACAGTACAATGTAAAGACTATATACACAGCAAAGCTTGTCCCAAAAGACCAAAGCACTTCACTTTCAAAGCACACCAAATGCAAGTATTTTTTATTACAAGACCTGTCATTAGGACAACATGCCCGCCTATTGTAATTGCTCGATAGTACAACGGAGTCTGGACAATGTAGAATTTTGTAAGTTCAAAAAGGAGCATAATTCTGTCAAATCCATGTTATGGGCTTTGAACAGTGACCTATTACATTCTCAAATAATGCTTGAAGTTTCAACTCATTCCTTTCAGATTGGAGGTACCATCCTTAAACTCACTGCAATGCAGTTACCGCAGCTGTCCCTATTTTTTGAATAGTTAATTGAGCTAAAAATCATAGTTCTCCATTTATAAAAGTAAGTTTCAAGGCCAATCAATCAGCCAGTTTACTTTGAAGCTAATTAACTTTTGGCAAAAACACTTAGCAATAAATCAAATAACTACAAAAAGTAAGTTGTCCATTTTATGCTCTGGCTCAGGACTCTCCTATGACCATGTTTTCCTGGTAGGTAAATATGCGCTATATATAGAGCTAGCAATATGTTACCATGCTTTGAGCGTTTAAGTTAAAAGAAATATGGTTAACATGTAAAAGGCATTTAAACTTCACAGCAAAGTTTGGCATCAGTAACTTACAGAATCAGAAAAAAATACAAAACAATATTTGACCTGTAGCTTGTTACCAAGACTCAGTACAATGTTTGGCCTTAAAAGGTACCAAGACTGCAATTGGTACTGTAACATACAGATAAAGTTTAGGCCAAGCATAACTGCATAATCATTATTGTTTTTCTTGGTGTAAAAAAAAAAGTTTTTAAATCAAATTATTAAGATCTTTAAATAATAATTAGAATTTAATCAGATGCAGCAAAGCTTGACCTTATAAGTAGCAAGAATAATCAACTTGGTTTCTTCAGTTTAATTAAAAGAAAATCTTTTAAGAAAGCTTCAACATTATTCCCAATTATTTCTTGGTTTCAGTTAAATATTTATTATGATCAATTTAATACAACAAAGGTTACAATAAGCAGTTTATATCACATCAATTCACAGCAAATCTTGGACAGTTAACTTTATATAATGGACTTGCCCATTAACTCAGTGGACCTGTCCATTATTGTTTTAAGGACTTTCAATATCAAAAATGTCCAAAGTGAGCTATACACAGTATAGAATCTAGCCGGCCGGTAGAGATGTGCAGGCTGGCATGATTCTATACTTGTAGCATTTAGGCAAGTCCTTATAAATTCAAAAAAGCATGCAAAGAAATTAGCATTCACTAAATGCCAATTAAAGGTCTAGCATTCACACAGTTTTTACAAACCTGGGAAAGGATCAGGTAGGATTATTGGAACACCTATGTCGGGATACTTTGGGTCAATGGGGTGACGCAACATATTTGGGGGTCCTAAAACAACATAATGGTGTTTATTCACACACGCACACACAGAGTTCATGCAAGACAAACAACAATATGGTTAAAATGTTACAATGGTCATTAATATGAAAATATATTATGTGGTATCATAAGTTATCTAATTTAACCTTTAACTTGCTGGATTTCATGAATTGGCTCATCTAGCTTTTTAGTTTTGGAACTTTCCATTAACAATATTTGGGGATTACAAAATAAAAATTTGAAATAAGTCACCAATAATATAGCCTGGTCAGACTAGACGGATGTGCAGGCTGGCCTGGCTCTAGCTATCTTTCCATAAACAATGTTTGGGAATATCAAAGTGAAAATATAAAAAAGTATGACCTTCAGAATTTGGGGCGTCTCCATTGAAAAAAAATGGGTTTAAGCACTATAATTTTCCTGTTTTGCCCCCATACAATTAAAATAAAACCTACTTAAAAGGCCCAAAAAAATTAAAAAAGTAATTCTTCATTTTTGAAAAAAAATAAAGTTCTAATGGATTTAGTATGAACATTTATATAAATAATAATAATATTTTGTTCCAGAACAATTTATATCATCTGCTATATAAATATTTGTAATAATTCAGATCAGTTGTATCTCATACTTGCCAACAGTAATATATATATATTTCTTTTGTGACTTCTTGTTATGTCTGATACTTAACACTATTAATGTATTTATTGTTTAACACACTTTCCATCATAGACCAATTCACTTTAATTATTTATAATTCCATTCAAAAAGTGGAATTGTGCAGTATTATTAATTTGTGCAAAGACTTTCAGCATGTTATAATTATGGCCAAATATAAATGCCAGTATGCTATATAACCCTAATACCTAGCAGCTGAGGTAATATAAGCTCACATATGCCGGTCAATACTGTTTATAACCAATACCCTGTCATAAAACTTTATAACTAATAATTTATTCATAAAGCAGAATTTCAGGTTAAAGCCCCATATTTACAATTGGGCCAATTAAAGATATGCTAGCAAACAACTGAAACTAAGGGTTGCATATAATCAACATTAAGTTTGTTTTAATGTAGATAAATCTATTAAAGTAGTCACTACTGACTCAGTTTCAAAAACCTTGACCTTCAATTTTACAAAATCACAAAATAATTCTGATGATTTAAAAGATTAATGCCTGTACAATTATATCTGCAGAATAATTTACCTATCTCTTTAAGTAATGAATTCCAAAATGCACTTTTACAATATGCTACATCAATTAACAACTATGCTCTTTGAATCACATGTTTTCTGAATTGTTTTCTTCTAGGAAATTTGCCATATTCTAAGATACATTATAGATTCTACTTTACTTTATCAGATCATTAAAATTTATCAAGTGCCAATTTCAAGTTCACAGTTGGTGTAGATGTAAAATTATAGCAGAAACATGCTCGTAAACTTTAAAAAAGTAGCCGATGCCTCAAGTATTGGGCCTTACGGGTTTGTAAACTGTAAAAGTAGACAATTTTGCAAGGGCTCAAATTTCTTTAATTTCTTAAATTGAAGATTTTATGGCCCCTGAAAAAGAGAAATATTTGCTAAGTATCTAAATATCATATAAATTCAACAGAACTGAAGGTAGAAATCAGAGAAAATTTCAACTTGTCAGAAATGTTAGTTTTGTAGCCTCACAAAAACTACTGATTTTACAGTATTTCTGCAGCCTAAGCTGATAGCTGAACATCTCAATTTAAGTTTTTTAATACTGAAATCACATAAACAAAATTAAATTTGGACAATTCCAAGTTAATGCCCTTGACTTGCAAGTCACACAGGCAACTCTGTAACACCACTTGCTTTTTGGAGAAATCTAACACTGTTAATTTCTTTGATACTCATAACTGCCGAGGACTTCTATTTTATAGACAAGTTGTTCTTTGAAAAAAAATATGAAACTAGAGGATGCTTTTGTAAAAAAGCGCATGTCTCCCCCACTGCTGAGAATAACTGTGAATGGAAACAGGAATGGAAATGGAGATAAGATAATGTAAATACCCGGTAGTCACTTCAATGAAGGCTGTCTATGGATGGTTTCTATTGTTAAGGTTGTATGAGAAGATGCTTCCTAAACTGTTTGTTTTTAACCAGGTATTCAATTTTGAAAATCCTGGTTATTCAATCAGCGTATGGCAGGCGGGCGTCAAACGAAATTGCACTTGATGGTCATATCATATATAGTTTCACAAATGAAATTAAATGAAATTGTGTCTGCTCCATAATTCTTCAAACCTTTAAAGGATTTTGATGATACTTGAAACAAACGTTCATATTGTCAGATTTTTTTACACTATTGAAAGACAACTCAAATTACAATGTATGTAAAATCATGATAACTGTAGTGTGTTGGGATGACTCCACTCGTTTTCACAATGAAGCCTCTCTGGTAGATACTTGAAACAAAAATTCACCACATCCAGAGAACGTGTAGAGTACATGTTTCGTATGGCTGGTTCCAAGGTCAAGGTCTACTTGACACTTGAATGTCATATCATATATAGTTTCACAAACTAAATTAAAGGAAATTGTGTCTGCTCCATAACTCTTCAACCCTTTGAAGGATTTTGATGATACTTGAAAGTTGTAACGCAATACCAATAAATATGTACATAGTCTGAATGGTGCCATGCATGTATGTATACTATTAGTAATAGTTAACAAGAATAGAAAGTGATATACTATATACTTACATATTGCATGAAAACTCACTCGCTAGTAGGAATTTGTAGTTATCATCAGCAAACAAAACAATGCGTGTAATACACCTTGCTGTGACCATGTAGCATTGAACGCGCAGCGGGGAAGAAATGACCGCTTAAGGGTGGAAAGATCAAAAAAGAACAGAGTATATAAAACCAGACAACTGATATATCACTGATATATCAATAATAGTTAAATGTCCTCACTGATAAGAACTCTAGTTATCATCCGGAAATGAGAAAATGACCAATGGTCACTGTGACCTTAACCTTTGACCTACTGACCCCATAAACAAGAGGGATCATCTGCTCAATAAGACCAATCATCCTATGAAGTTTGAGGGTTGTAGGTCTAAAGGAACTCTAGTTATCATCCGGAAAGGAGAAATTAACCAACGGTCGCTGTGACCTTGACCTTTGACCTACTGACCATTAAAACAATAGGGATCATCTGATTAATAAGACCAATCATCCTATGAAGTTTGAGGGTTGTAGGTCAAAAGGAACTCTAGTTATCATCCGGAAATGAGAAATTGACCAACGGTCACTGTGACCTTGACCTTTGACCTACTGACCCCAAAAACAATAGGGATCATCATCTCTATAAGACCAATCATCCTATGAAGTTTGAGGGCTGTAGGTCAAAAGGAACTCTAGTTATCATCCGGAAACGAGAAATTGACCAACGGTCACTGTGACCTTGACCTTTGAACTACTGACCCCAAAAACAATAGGGATCATCTGCTCAATAAGACCATTCATCCTATGAAGTTTGAGAGCTGTAGGTCAAAAGGAACTCTAGTTATCGTCCGGAAACGAAGAATGGACGGACGGACTGACGGACGGACGGACTGACGGACGGACAGGGCAAAAACAATATGTCTCCCCCCGAGGTGGGGGAGACATAATAATTATGAAATTCATAATGTACTGTTTTCATATATTTTCTAATTTCTAAATCTCAACACATGCTTTCAAAAGAACTGAAATGAAATTCATAAACATTTAACAATAGAACATGCAGAACATTGAAATAACATTTAAATTCAAAACATCTATAAGATACAATTGAAACATTTCAGTTGCATTTATTTAACATTTTCAATGACAACTAAATACAGAACTGGAAATATTTTAGAAATTATTTTACAAATATTCTGTAGATACTTTCATACTAAAAGAACTGCACCAGTTGACTGTAACCATGGTTTCTGACAAAAATATTCGAGACTTTGGGATTTTCAAACTCTTGAAACAAGCCCTGCCCAGCTTATAGAGTCAGATGCTTAAACTGCTAAAACCCCAGCACTGTAATTTTTGTACATATTCCTGGCGATTTTGGTGCCAATCAAAACCCCTTATCATATTTACCAACCTTATAAGCCACATTGCCTATAAGACAGGCATCTAGATTAAGCCTTGAAATCATAAGTCTTTTGGAAAAATTACAAGTCAGTTTATTTGAAGTAAAATATATTAAGAAATCAATGTTTACCGTCAGTTTTCAAGCATACATTTTTGTATCAACTGAAATATTTCAAATATACGTAAAAACAATTGTTTATTAAAAAAAATAGGAATTACTAAGTGAAATCTAACAAGCACTCTGATAGGATAACAATAGTAACAAGTGGGAAATGTAACATGCACTTTGATTGGATAACAATAACAACACACAGTGATGAAAATGTAAAAGGCTACCTGATTGGCTAGTTGAATCCTTGTCTAAAGGTGGTGATACTGATCATGCAAGAACAGAAATAGTAATACAATAAAGTGATCAATCTACATGGGAAAACTACATGGAACTGATAAGTTGTAAAAATATATAAAACAAAGTTATCCAGTATTGAAAGGCAAAAGTCTTTTCATATATCATTTAGAAAGTCTATTGTTTAAATATATTCTTCAATTTCTGGCTCTTTTTAAAGTAAGAAGTGTTATCCAACTAATGATTGGCTACTTCTGCTTGAACAAAGAATATATTTTTTTTATAAAAATTGTTGATATAAATGTCTCACCTTTTATAAAATTAATGTATAAATTTATTTTACTTCACAATACACAAGTCAAGTTTTGAGGAATTGACATAAGTATAAACTTACAAGTTGACTTTTTCAAGAAAATTGTCATAAAACCTTGGTTAAGCCAGGTTGATTTTTCAAACATATTGCACAATAGCAATAATTGATAATAATGCATATGTACAAGTACCTATAACTTCTAAATAAATGTAAAGTAAATGTACAAAATGAATATGGAAAAAAGTATGTAGTTTCTTTAAAAAATTATATCTATTATATGTATTAACAAAATGTTGCTGAAGAAATTCCTAGAAAGTCTCTAACCATATAAACATGATTGCTAGAAAGGACGTGCCTCAGTTCCGTGCCGTGTAATACTACATAATAATACTAGCTAAAAGGTCACTATAAGTACCGAAATATAAACATCTAACTAACTACAATAGTGATTTATAATACGTCTCAAAGATTCCTTACAACACTGATATAACTTGATCTTAAAATTAACAGAAAAAATAGATATATTTATCAATGATATGTAAAAGATGAATTGAGTTTATATGATCAGAAAATGAATCCACCTTTATATAAAACAAAAATATACATTTTTCTCATCTGACTGACTAGGCCATTATCATAATTACTGATAAAACAGATCAGGTAATACCGGTAGTCATCCATCACTTTGATTCTAGAAACAATATCTTACCATAGATATTCTAAAGGTGATAACATGGGAGTAAAATGGATAAGATTCCTTGTTCAATTATGATAATGCCAATCAGACATCACTGTTCAGTCTATGTGATGTCATGATCTTTTACCAATCATGCATACAGAAATTAATGAGTAAATTTACTTGGGAGTAAATTGTAACAGCTATGTTTTATTTTATGATGTAAATAAGACATCACTGTTCACTCAATGTAATGCCATGATCTTTTGCTAATCAAACATACAAAAATAATGAGTAAATTGTAACAGCTTGGGAGTAAATTATAACAGCTATATATGTTTTATTTCAGGATATTGTAAAGGTTGGTTAATCATTATCATATTTCTATGGGAAATTTTCTGCATAGCATTAGAATATAAGTCTATAAGGTTAATTCAGTGTTATAATAAATCTCTATTTATCTGTGTGACAATTTGTTAAAAATAAAATGTTTATTTTAACATTAACAAGATATTTCTTTTATTTCTCAAGATATACTATGCTAAAATTTGATATTTAAAAATACTGATAACTGGTATACAGTCTCTCTTTAAAAGTAAAATAAACACTTTTAGAGTACACAGAGAGAAGATAATGTGAACTACATTTTAACACAGTATGAATACAAAGTGTCATTAAAAGAACTGGCAGTTTTTTTTAAGAAAGAACAAAATAATCTTGATCAGTAATAGGGAAAGCAGCTTTCAAAACATAGTTTTGTACTTTCTCACTCAGTAAGAATTTTCTAGATTTCATTAAATTTCTGATATAAAAGTATTTTACCAGAAGATGAGCATAGTATATCTTTAAATGGCATTGTTTACACTAAAGAAAACTAATAATCTATACTAACAATAAAAAAATATTCATTTTTAAGAAACAAAAATATTTGAAATTGATACACTATAAATTGTACCTAATGCAAAGCATGATGTCTTAATTACAATTCGCATATTAAAAGCTATGTGCAATCTAAAGAAATGAGAAAAAAATCGTTCAATATAAAAAAAATTTCCTTGACTATTTCACTGTGAGCTTTGGTGAATAAACATCTACCATCCTGTTACATCTATTAAATGTTTTGATAAATAAAAACCTATACCATACCTTTGAGGCAGACATGTTGAATCATATGTTTGACAAGGGCTATCACTGTGGTATTGAGCATTAAAACACTACCAATCTCGGAGAAATACAGCGACTTCTGCCGTACCCAACATGGTTCATAAAACATCATGTATAAACTGGTTCCAAAATGGTTCCAATATGAATCCATGTACCTAGAAATAAATAAACACTTAACAGTGTTGTGTACATGTGTTTCCCTTTTTTAAACATGTCCCTTAAAGAGATTCCTTCACTATGGCAGAAAATGTCTATACTGATATTTTTTTCGAAAATAGGGTCTAAAATTCCCAAATACTATAAATATTCATAATTTGACAATAGTTCTGGGTTTTGTTTTTCCCAATTTCCCTTATACTAATTTCACAACTTGAATGGAAAGATTTTCACATTGAGCAGACTCAGATTCATTTTAAAAGTATGAAAGATGAAATATTAATTCTGATAAGACATAATTATATGTATGATGAAAATTACATATACTGTGAGATTTTTTAAAAATGTCTTTTTTCCAACACCGACTCCTTTCATTTTTTTCCTAATAAAACCTTGTGTGCTCTTAATAATAATAATAATAATATAATAATAATAATAAAGACTTTATTTAAAAAGGCAACACAGTTAGGCAAGCCCATTCTTCCCTATATGTGTGTATATAACCAAAAGCCCAAAGCTAACTAACTTGTTCTCAAATAAGTTGAAAAACCCAAAAAATATCGTCATCTTTGTGCAGTAACAGGTTAATTCCTATTAAATTATATGTTAAATTATATGAAGAATTAAACTAATTACTGCACTAAAGTGACAATATGTAGTATTTCTACCAGCATTATTCTACCAACACAGAAGTATTTATGCACAAAATACTATCACCATTATTAAGCCTGTTTGATTGGAAATAGAACCTCTTGTCATGTGCATGGATTAAAATAGCAGCACACATCAGTCATTCTGACAGTAAATAATATAGCCATGTCATGCCTGTGTCATTAGATACTCAGGTTACAATGTACAAGAAACTTGACTGCATGGACACAAATATCATCAAGAATAGATGAGCAGCACTGTTCAATAATGCTATGAACTTAAAACCACAACTGTGCTTCTATGAAAAAAATCTCCAGAACGTGTAAACCATACGGTAAACTTTGTTTAAATTTTGCATACAGGTGTCCTTTAAGGTATATGTTGTCAATTTTATGGTTCCTTATAGTGCACATTAGAGGGCTCATACCTTAATACATGTAGATCTGCTTGTGAAGTCTGACTAGGATTCTTAGGCTCTAAACAGTAGACTGCTCAAAGTCAGCACTCAGAACTATAGATTGCTTGCAGTGGCAAGGTAAAGTTTTTGCAATCCGAACTATATAGGTCCCTTAAAGTAGCAAACTCTAAAACTTGTTTAATTCAAAGTCAGACAAACAATTTGATAAAATCTCAAAGAATAGAATGATGTTATCCGGAACTATACAGATATTCAGCAGGTACAAACTTTACCATTTATATATATAATTGCTCCACCGTGCACTACCTGTCACAATAGATTGGTCAACCTGTTCCGAAGCTGTAAAAGTAAAAGTTTGTTTGTACCTACAGATAAGCTCGGCAAACCCGAATATTCTGAATTCTGGATTTAGTCTATCGTTTCTAAATTCAAAGATGGACGAGTCAATTTTGTACAAAATGGCTTCAGTAAGTCTGATGATTATAAGCTTTATTGTCAGTGACAGTCTAAGGAATGATTCTACAGGTCCCACTCTCCCCACCAAGAGAGGACTTCAAAATGCTTTATATATATTAATCTGAAGTAATAACTTTGCTAATCTTCCAAAACTTTGAATTCCAAGGTGCTCAAGTTCAAAGTCATGCTGACAATTTTTCAAAAAAAAAGTTTCATGGCTCTAGTAGTTATAATTTTGGGGTTACACATGACACATGACATAAGTCTTAAAATGCTGTTACTTATAATCAAGGGAAAAGTTCAGATGATGATCTCAAATTAGTTTGCATAATTATAGCCTCAAGTTCACATGTTGACAAATCTTTTAAGAAAGTTTTATGACTCAAGCTTGGCTACACAAACCAGTCTACTAACGGACAACAGGACAGTCAGTGTGAAAGCAGGACAGACAGACAAGAGCAAAGCTTTATGTCCAGTCACAAAGTGCTGCAGGCATATATGTACCTTGGCTGGATTAATAAATTAGATTTACAAGCAATAACGACAAAACTTGACAAATTTTCTCACCTTGACGTCAGCTGCGACTTTATTGAGCTGTCCGCAGAATCACCCCAGGAGACTGATTTCCTCAAAGAATCACTTCTAGAAAGCACTGGTGTATCACCACGCGGAGGTTTACCCGAATTCATCATGCTCTGACTGTACTTGACAGCTCGCCTCGATTTCTGATGGTCATTTCTCCGCAAAAGGTTCGTCGAATTGCACACAATTAGAAGAAAGTTTTCAGCAAAGGAGTGTTCTCGTCGAGCTAGTTCCACTAAAGGAGATTCTGAGTCGGACAAATCAGGTGCGCGTAAACTGCCGACCTTTAGTATAGCTGCACTAAGAGATGTCATGCTACCGGTGGCAGTATGATAATCTGAGGTGTCTTTATCAGCTCGTTCATTAACGTGACTAGATTCCTCTGTCCATACAAAGTTTGGTAATTTTCCTGAATAAAGAAGTTTCACAAATTCGTGATTTGTCGTAAAAAATCGGTGTGTTTCCAGAGCTGCATATCTTGACCTCTCATTGGCAATTATACTTAGCACCCTCGAAAACGGAATAGCTTTAACGTGTTCTCCGATATTCGCTACAGAGTTTGTAGAATCTGGACTTAAAGCACTTATATGTTGAGTACAAAAAGATTTTAGGCCTATTTTAGAGGTAGATGAATGATTGTCATGTTGTAATCCATTTATAATTCGGTTCAGATCTTCAAGACCACGTGTTATATTCCATATCATTTCATGCGTTAAGGCGTCCACATTTCCGTGAGCAAAAACTTGTAAACCTATCTGAACAAACTTTTCGAGCCACCATATAGCTTTGTTTTGTAAATGTATCAATGATAATTTTATACGGTCGAGCTGAAAATGTAATGAACCGAGAACCGGTTGCAGCCACCGATTTGTGTGCAGTTTTTGTTTTATACATTTCCAATGACCTATTAAAGTTCGTAAATCTTCACATAAAGCATTAAGGCAGAAAATTTTACTAACGGGAAATTCATCGACACAATCATGCGTAATTTTATATAAAATTTTATGCTCCTCCATAACTTATTGCTGTAAATCACGCACAAATGTGATTGATAATTTTAGCCGATACAAACAGTCTCTCATGAGTTCCACGCGAGCTCGTTCCTCTAATGTCTGACGTAGGTTAACATATCGCCGTCCAATCTGGGTCGAGTGCCGACAGTGAGTGAAGCTAGAACCTCCATGATCCGGTCCTCTTCTTGCTATGTGATATCCTGGTTCCAATACCTTTAAGATAAACAGATTGCATTTCTTCAGTGATTTTAATCATAACCTCAGCATTAAACTTTTTCAAATCATTCAATATATAAAAAAAATTAGACTATTGAACATAACTACAACAATACTTGTATTTATTTTACCACATGACCACTGGTCACTTTTCTTACATTGCAATCACTATTTAGCTGAAATGGTGTGCCATTTGATCAGTTAGGATGATTATGTTAATGTTTGTTTGGTTGGTAAGATTTTATGCAGTTAATAATTTAACACATATTTTGGTTATCATTTTTTATATTATTTTAATTAATATCTGATTAAAAGATTGAACAATAATGAATGATTAATGATTTCTCTTTGACAGCCTTTATATGAATATTAAGCTAGTCTTTATATGTGTATTAAGCTAGTCATGTGTGGTCAATTTTTCACTTGCAATAACACAACAAGAAGACAATTAATTTAACAACCTATAAATAATTCTTCAACCACTGGGCCAAAGCTAAAATTACATCACTGGTAGATATTTTACTATTGCCCTACAGTCTCACTTACATCCTGGCAGAGCCCCGGTAGACGTCCGGGGTGATCAGGGAACGACCGGGGTACGACCGGGAACAACCAGAGTACATCCGCAACTCTGTCAGCAACGTCCGGGATGATTTGGGCACATCCCACTTTCGACCCCGGATGGAATAAAATATTTAATATCACCGGGGTTTTTCAGGATGATCTGGGAAGTATAGCTAATTGCCGGCTTCATCCTTAGCTCTGCTGGGAACAACCGGGTAACACAGGGGAAGCACCGTAGCTCTGCCCGCACAAACCGAGAATGATCCGGGGTATGATATAGCTGGTAGAGCTAACCTAATCAATGAGATCTTATAATCTACCTACAAAGTTTCATGTTGAGACCTCTTATAGTTAAAGAGTTATGTCCCAGACAAAGTTCAAAGTGTAAAAATTAACAAACTTATCAAAGGGAGATAAAAATGTCAGAAATAAACTAACTGCACAATAGAGTTATCTTCATAAGAGGAAGTTAAAAATAAATCCAGAGAAACCTAATACTCTAATTGTTGTTAGCAACTGGGAAATTCCTGAAGTGTTTTGTTTTGTTTTTAAATATTGAAAATCTAATGACTTCATGTCTTTAATCTTCTGCAGATATAAACAAACAGGTAATAATTTAATGATTATTGTATACTACTGACAAGTTTCATTAAAATTTATTTCAAAAAGAGGTAAAAGTTTTGTATTTGATTAAAGATTATATGCTATGCTCAATTTTGAATTTGTGACCATACTTGAACTGCATCTACAAGGAACAATACCAACGGAAGGATAATAATCAGCACTCAAAAAATATTTACAGCGGTTAAAAAGTTATGGAACGGACACAAAATGTAGACTTTTTATTATGAAATGAAGATTTTTTAACATTTGACCTTTAAGTGTGACTTTGACCTTGGGGTAGCAACCCAATTTTTGCGCTCTGCACATCATCTCATTATGGTGATCAATTTTGGCAAGTTATTTTAAAAAAATTCAGCTGTGTTAAAGTTGTGGGAGGGGATTAATCAGATTAAAAGTTTTAAAAGGGAATATAAAAAAACGGGAAATTTTTTCCTTTAATTAAAACCCTTAAAATACACTTCTTTTTTTTTGGGAAAAAATAAGGGTGTTGTTTCAATATTTTAAACAGGGTGTCACCTTGTTTTAAAATTGTTGTTTTTTATTGTTTTTTTTATTTATTAAATTTTTAAGTTTGTAAAGTTTTAGTATGAATAAATAAATTTCCCCTTTAAAAAGAAAATGTTTTTCAAATTTGAATTTTTTCTTAAAAATATTTTACACTTTTGTATTAACATACAAAAACATGAATCTGAAAGGGTGTTGAATAATTTTTTTTTAACCCCAGAAATGAAAAGCCCAAAATATTTTTAGGTATGTATACCCTAATCTTTTCCCAGTTTTACAGCTAAAGAAAATTAAAAGGGTTTGGGTTAATTTAAAAAAGGCAGATCATAATTTAATTGTGAAGAATAATACAAATTATCTTGTATAAATATCTTGTGTCAATCAGTTTTCATCATCAAAGGGAGGTGTTAAAATCAATGTAATTAAAAATACAAATAAAAAAAAAACATTTTGACTTCGTTTTAAAATCAATTTTAATCAACACTTAAGTCAGGAGTATTAAGTCTGTATTCATTAAAAGGTTTACAAAGTTTTACTTTTTTTGTTTATATCTGCAGAAGATTAAAGATCATGAGGTCACTATTTTAAAGCGAAACAAAATTTTGAGAATTTTTTCAAATGTTTATATCTATAGGATCTTTGGTTTTCTGAAATAATTTTACTTTCTCTTTTAATTATAAGAAGATAACACTGTTCTACAATCACTTGATCAACAAAAATCATGTTAAAAAAAACAATTTTGTTAAACATATTATTATACACTGCTTATAAAACAACAAAACGTAATAGATAAATATTTTTATCAAAAAATTCTATGAAGGAAAATTTATCCATTTCGATGGCTGAACGCAACACTGGTCTAACTTGATTTTTTTTCAAAAATGACTTTTTTGCATTTTTTAGTCTAATTGCATGAAATACATCAGTAAATAAAATATTAAAAATATTTGTGAAATTTTATGGGTTTTATTTACCACTTGGCATTTTGCTCTATCTCAAATGTGATTATAACTTAAATGCAACAGAGAGCTAACTCAAGTTAGAACTGTGTTGCATTTATCAAAATTTACTTATTGGATGATAACACTGTACTAACTCTAGTTAGCAGAGTGTTGCTGTTTAATTTCAATACAATAAAAATTAGTATTGTTATATTTGCAGATATTAAGTTAGGTCTGGCATATTCATAAATACTTATTTCTACATTTTACCCATTTTTTTTGCCCAAATTGCAGAATTGTAAAATCCAAGGCTCTTAATTAATTCTATTTTGTGTTTAATAAGTTTAAAATTGCTATATTATCTCTACATAGTCATAATTATAAGATTGAAATAAAAAATAATAGTAAATTAACCTTTCAAAAAGATTCATTATAATATTCAAATCATATAATTCACTGTTGATGAAAATTATTTACAAGACAATTTGTGTTGTTTTTTGTTGTTGTTTTTAATCATAGTGATCTATTAATTTTTTTAAGATTTTATTATTATTTAATACAATTTACTCCTAATTCTTAAAGGGACTCCAATTTTGGCATCATGGGACTTGAAATATATTTTCGAGATTTATGTACAATTTGATGACGGTCTGGACAAATAAACTTGTGGTGTTAAAACTTTCAGATTATTATTTATTAAGTTTTTTCCAGAGCAGTTATGTGAACTATAAAAAATGACCCGAATATTGAAAAGCATATGAGTACAGCTTTAAACTCAAATTTAGATACTAATAGAACCATGATAAAATTTTCAATTTCATGTTAAGAATAATTTCTTTATATCTCTTGTGTATTTTTGTTTATGTGGCCCGAGTTGATTCATTTCAGAAATTCAAATCTTAAGTTTTTACGCTTTTGGACCTCAGTGAAGTTTCTTTAAGTATCTGTATGTACAAGGCTTGTAATCATTTAAATAAAACTTTTGGTTGGTTGGTTTTACAGCACCAACACAATTGAGGTCCTATGTATCAGATAGGATTATCTAATCTGTTAATTCCGGTGCTAGTAAAACATGTTCTTACATCCCCATGTAAAACAAGTCAAATGCTTATTAAAGAAGTCATTCCCAAGCGCCTTTTTATGAATGAATTGCTTTTCTACGTCATATGCTACTATAAGGGAAAAGTGCTAAATGAAAGTATTAGTAATCATCATTTTCTTTACGAAATATCACTAATATGTAATATGCGAGAAAAAAATCAAACACAAGCTGTTGTCAAGACAGGGAATATCTAGTCTTGGGTAACTGTGTAGCGGAAACTCTGCAGTCTCTTTACCACCATAAAAATTACCCTCAAGTTAAGATATTTCCAGTCTGTACTGGCAGCCCGGTGTAAATTCCTTATAGGCCAACCTCGGACGTTAACAAACATGAAAGCAGCAGAACTTGAGTACTTGAGGTCTTCCTCCACTGGAAAGCTGGAGTTTTGCCATATGACCTCTACTGTGTAAGTGCAACATAAAACCCAACAAGAAAAGAAATGTTTAAGAAAAAAGTGAGGATAATGCTGGTGATATATTATATTTAGTGGGGCCAATGCTGATAAAGGGGATAATGCTGGTGATATGAGGGCTAGTTGGGACAATCCTGGTGATATGATAGTAAAATGGGGACAATGCTGGTGATATGAGGGTTAGTTGGGACAATGCTGGTGATATCATAGCAATTGGGGACAATGCTGATGATATGAGGGTTAGTTGGGACAATGCTGGTGATATCATAGTAAATGGGGACAATGCTGATGATATGAGGGTTAGTTGGGACAATGCTGATATCATAGTAAATGGGGACAATGCTGATGATATGAGGGTTAGTTGGGACAATGCTGGTGATATCATAGTTAATGGGGACAATGCTGATGATATGAGGGTTAGTTGGGACAATGCTGGTGATATCATAGTAAATGGGGACAATGCTGGAGATATGAGAGTTAGTTTGGACAATGCTGGTGATATCATAGTAAATGGTGACAATGTTGGTGATATCATAGTAAATGGTGACAATGCTGGTGATATCATAGTAAATGGGGACAATGCTGGAGATATGAGAGTTAGTTTGGACAATGCTGGTGATATCATAGTAAATGGGGACAGTGCTGGTGATATCATAGTAAATGGGGACAGTGCTGATGATATCATAGTAAATGGGGATAATACCGATATGAGGGCTAGTTGGAACAATGCTGGTGATATCATAGTAAATGGGGACAATGCTGATGATATCATAGTAAATGGGGATAATACTGATGATATGAGGGCTAGTTGGGACAATGCTGGTGATATCATAGTAAATGGGGACAATGCTGGTGATATCATAGTTAATGGGGACAATGATGGAGATATCATAGTAAATGGGGATACTGCTGGTGATATGAGGGCTAGTTGGGACAATGCTGGAGATATGAGGGTTAGTTTGGACAATGCTGGTGATATCATAGTAAATGGAGACAATGCTGGTGATATCATAGTAAATGGGGACAATGCTGGTGATATCATAGTAAATGGGGACAATGCTGGTGATATCATAGTAAATGGGGACAATGCTGGTGATATGAGGGTTAGTTGGGATCATATTGATGATGGGACAATGCTGATGATAATATAGTTAGTGGGGACAATTCTAGTAATATTATAACTAGTGGGGACAATGCTGGTGATATTATAGTTAGTTGGGACAATGCTGGTATTATAAAGATTAGAGGGGACAATTCTGTGATTATTATAGTTAGTTGGGGCAATGCTGGTATTATAAGGGTTAGTGGGGACATTACTGGTGATATTATAGTTAATAGTGAGGGCAATGTTGGTATTATAAGGGTAGTGGGGACAATATTGGTGATATAATTATAGTTAGAGGGGAATATGCTGAGGATGACAATGCTGATGATAAAAGTGTGATTGATGACAATACTGATGTAATGAGGTCTAATTTGGTGGCAATGCTGCTTATATGATGGTGAGGAAGATAGTGGGGGTGAGATGAGTATTCAGAATAGTAATGTTTGGTTAATAAGGGCTAGTGGAGACAATGCTGTTTATATAAGAGCTGAGGATGGTGATTATGTAATAAAAAATGCTGTCAATCATTTTGAAGGTGAAATTAGGGTTTTTGATATCATTATGCTGGTGATCGTCAGTGCTGGCAAGTGGAGAATGGTTAAAATGATAGTTTATGTAATATAGAAAATAGTTATTAAATGGGGAAAAATATGTTTATGTAATATAGAAAAAAGTTATTAAATGGGGAAAATATTAGATAAAAAAGTAAGAATGATGATGGATAAAAGAGAAATGCAATGAATTACTGTAATAGGAATATGGGAAAAAATTATGTTTAAAAATCTGACAAAAAATTGAATATAACAGATAATGAGAAAGGAAGGTGGACAAAACTATAGATACAAATGCCATGCCGATAACTTTAGTTTATGCAAAATGTTCCTAAAGTTAACATTTTTCTTGAAATTCTGACGACATAAATAAACTTGAAAATATAAATGAAGATCGAATAGGCAAAAATTAGTTTCATTTTGAATAATATTGCCTGTGTTTTTAGAATTACAAGTTTTATATACATGCTTCTATTTTTCAGTTATGAGTATGTGCTTCAATTTTAATGTTACATTGAATTATGATTAATGTAAAAATCTTATCTTGTCTACAAAACATTCATTCCGAAACTGAAACTTTATAATTAGATTTTTTTCTAAAATATTTTTTATGTGATAAAACAACTGACTTTTAAGATTGTCTGATTTCTAGTAATGTTTTGCAAAAGATGTCAATTTTGTATAAATTAACATGTCGGTTTCCATAGAAAGTTGTTTTCTTTTAAAATAATACTAAAATATGGTTATAGTTACAGCTTTTTTCTATTATATCATCCTATTTTTTCAAACATAGCACTTATTTATTATTCTTTTGGCCTTATTGAACTCATTTTGTAAATGCAACATAGGGCTATGTCAAGTTAGACCAGTTTTGCTGAAAATTTATCATTGAAATTTGGTGATTTATAAATGGAAAACTGATCTAACTCATATCTTTTCAAATATCTTTTTTATTTAACAATATTAATTTATGAAACTCCTTTTAACTAAAATTTTAACTTATATGGATATAAAAATCAAAAAATAGTAACAAAAATTTTCAATTTATAGAATTAATTAAATTTTTATAGCCTCCTTGAAATTTTGTAATAATCAAGTTAGACCAGTGTTGCGTTCAGCAATCGATTTAACAATAAAAAAGTCTGATTGTGGTGATCTTAAATAGAAATTCAGCAAAGAAGTAAAGAAATTACATATGTCAGAAACTTAATAATATTTTAAAACATTAATGACATCAATATAATATTTTCAGAATGTATCAAGTACCAGATTACAACCAGACTGTGTCAATGAAGCTATCAGAGGTTCTGGCTGATATAGGTGTTGATGAGAGAATAGTGATGAAAACGAGAAGATCATGGCTTCTGATAGAATCAATAACAAATATAACTTACCAACTACGTGATGGAAATTGTTTAACATACTTTTTTGGGAGTCAATCAGAAGGTACAACTACAAAAGGAATGCAATCAGACCTAGATCAACTATATTGCAATAAAGCACTCCCTATGATACAAGACTGGAGTGACTGGATACCTGGTTTATATAATCTATTGATGATTCAAGATAATTCTGTATCTCCTGGATATTGTTTACTTCAAGTGCTGAGACCTGATGCTCCTCTTCCTTTTGATGGTGAATCTGATCAATTCTTATTCAAAGACAGAACAGGAAAATTATTTTTAAAGAATTATATAGTACATGTAACTTTGTTAAATATAAAACGTGAAATACATGGGCCAGCAGGTGTACTACAAAGACATCCAGGCTACTTTGATAATGATTTTGTGTTAGCTCTACATTGTACAACATGGCCACAACAAGCTAGACAATGGTTGGATCAGCAAGGTGAAGGTCAATGGCCATCTGCTGAAATGAAACAATATTGCAGCAGAACTGGATGCTTTGTTGTTGGTGTTGGATGTAGTGGCAGTGAACATGAGCAACTTGAATGGAGAATATCAACATCTTTAGCAGAAAGGTGTTTAATGTTCAACCTGAATATTACACAGATTCGCTGTTATGTCTTGATGAAAATTATTTTAAAAACATTTATAAATCCATTGTTTAAAGATGTTATTTCAAGTTTTATGTGTAAAACTGTACTCTTCCATTGTATTTCCAATACACATTCTAACATCTGGAGAGAAAATAACTTACTTTCTTGTCTATCACTGTGTTTATATCTCCTGTACAACAATATCATTAATGAAAATTGTCCACATTTTATCATACCTGGGAACAATTTAATGAGGGGGAAAATTTCACCTGCAGTCAAACCATATATCCTGGAAATATTAAGCAATATCATCAACAGTGAAGGAGTGGCACTACTTGGGATTAAATGTGATGATCTTGGTTCCAGGCTTCATCTTAAGTTTAATAACTTATGTACAATCAAGACAAGTGACATTATTTCAGGAACACTATTATTTAATCTAGCTAAACATATATATATGACACTGAAAGAAATTAATTATCATCTTAAGGACAGTAGTCCTAATGAAGCTGTAGAAATATTAAAGAACTATGTATCGAAGACAATCAACGGTCAATATGAAGGATTGGATAAGACAGCCAGTAATCTCATAGCTCCAATTTATTGTACAACACTTGGATCTGTCCTGGCTTCACTAAACATCTATCATTACAACACTGTATCAGCAGATGCCCTCAAACTCATCTCACTTGGTCTGAATACAGATGTTGCATCAAGTAAACTGAAACTAGCTTCAATCTTATACTGTGTTCAAGAAATACAAAAAGCTGACTCAGTACTCAGTGAGATTGAAAGAAGATATGATCTACAAATTGTTGAGCCTGTCTGTAGTTGTCATGATTTTGAGAAAAAAACACCAAGACAAGGATTCTTTAAATTATGTGACATTCATAATGAAGAAATCTTACAGTATACAACAGCATCATGTGTTATATTTCTGCAATGTGAAATTCACTGTGTACCAAATGAACTCAGATATGAAATGTTTAGATCTACACAAGAGGACAGAATGTTTCGTACAGAAGAAGACAACAAATGGATGGATTGTGCTGTGGTGGATTCCCTCCCTTACCTCTACTTTCTACAATACAAAGTTTACAGCCATCTTGGAAGACATGACCAGAAACAAGCTGCTCTCTTCAAACTTATCAGAACCATAAAAGAGGAACCAAACCTTGGACATCGGGAAACAGCTCTAAATATTCTCGGAAAATGCATGGAACAAGAAGGTAGAGCAGGAGACGCTTTTCAGTGTTATTCAATGTCACTTAATATAAGGGGGAGAAACAATGCTGCAAAGATTCATATCGCCACACTCTTATCTGTACTGATAAATGCAAGGAGATAAAAGGTATGCAAAATATGTGGAAATGACTAAAGCAAGACAGTGAGACAAATGAGTGGTAGCTACAAGCTAGATTGTGACAGCAACATTCGTGCTCAACATCATTTTTTATTTTTCAAATAGCAAATTTATTGTCATAAGAAACACTTTTTGATACATATGTGTATGTCATCCATAAGTCCATATATGAAAGAGATAAAGCAAACTGTCATATAGTCTGGTTTTCATGTCTGATTGTTGATATTTCAAAGTTGATATTTCAAAGTAAGATAATAACTTCACTTTTGTATTGATATGTCTGATTCTCATCATTTTGGTACTATTCATTATCTTCACATGAAATAATCAGTAATTGCTCATTTATCATCATCTATTGAACTCATTTTTACAAATATCTTTATTCCTTAAATTTTCCTAAAATGTTTTTCGAAGCTGCCATGTTATAGGTTAGTACATAATAATATCCATATTTTCGTACTTTAAATAATTGAAGCATATTTAGCTTTACTGCATAATATGTATTTGTAATTTGTATCAACAATTGTTGAAGAAATTAACTTTTATGGTTTAGTTTTGTAAAAGAAGATGGTACTATTTCTTCGTTAATTTATGTAGTTGACTTGAGTACCTGTAAATAAATCCTGTCAATTTACCATAATTGTTTCTATTCATTTTAATTTGTTACCATTAGTGTTAATTTTCAACAAATTGATTAAATCAAATTTTGTATGTTCACTTTGTACTCATTTAAGGATCATTGGGATTCCTGACCAATTTTGATTGGCTTAAATCTAAGTGAAATCTGATTACTCGAGAATCCTATCCTAATTTTCTAAATCGCTCAAAGGTTATAAATACATTTTATGTAGAGCGTCACTTCCCAATTGGTCAGGAAACAGCAAATGATGTTGAAAGACGCCTTTATTGTCAGGGAACAGCAAATGATGTTGAAAGACGCCATTATTGTCAGGGAACAGCAAATGATGTTGAAAGACCCCATAATATTTAAATTCTATCAGATAGTCAATACAAGATCTTAATAAGTTACAATTTCCTAAATGTCAGTTCAGTAATTATGATTAAACAATAGCCATGAATCCTGAGGGTCATTTTGACTAAGTTTTACCCACTTCAAAGTCAAATCCCTGTGATTTTAACAAAACTTGTCCTGGCCCCATGTTCACAAAGATTTAAGGATCAGGATCAAGATCAGGATCAAATCTAACAAGGGTGCCATAGTCACAAAATACGCCCGTTTACGAAAGCTTTAGATGGAGATGGGGGCATTATGGATAAGTGTTATCTAGCAAGCAAGTTTTTATTCTTGGCACTGGGTTGTTAAATGAACCTTAAAACAAATCAGTAGGGAAGATATGCACAGAATGTGTGACCTTGACCTTGGTCGCAGGGACCTGAATTTTATGCACGGCACTCAGCCTCACAATGATGAACATTTGTACCAAATTATATTGAAATCCCTCTATGCATGTAGAAGTTTTGCTCCAGACAAGCGTTTTTCTATGAGCTCTAACTGTGACCTACACCTTTGACCGAGAGACTTGGTTCATGTGCAGGGCACTACGTCTCATGGTGGTGAACAATTCTATAAAGTAACATTAAAATTCCTCCATGCATGTAGAAAATATGCTCCGGACAACATCTGGATATTTAATCATCTCCAGTGACCTTGACCTTGCAAATATTAACCTAAATTAAATGTGTCACACCTGTAGTCATGATAATAACCATTTGTGCTACAATCCATCAATAAATGATGACTAAATGGTCCCTATACACATCTTTAAATTTTTATCTGAACTTTGACCTCTATGTGTAACCTTGACTTTGGCCGCAGGGATCTGAATTTTGCGTGCGACACTCAGCCTCACAATGGTGAACATTTGTGCCAAGTTATATTGAAATCCCCCTATGAATGTAGAAGTTTTGCTCCGGACAAGCGTTTTTCAATGAGCTCTAAGTGTGACCTTGACCTTTGACCTGGAGACCTGGATCATGCATGGAGCAATACATATCATGGTGGTGAACATTTCCATAAAGTATTATAAGAATTCTTCCATACATGTAGGAGATATGCTCCAGACAAAATCTGGATATTTCACCATCTTTAGTGACCTTGACCTTGCATATATTGACCTAAAGTACATGTGTCACAGCCATAGTTATGATAATGACCATTTGTGTTACAATCCCTCAATAAATGATGATTAAATCATCCCTACACACATCTTCATATTTTTATTTAAACTTTGACCTCTATGTGTGAGTACCGCTCAAGCCGGTGCTAGGGGGCGTGAGGGATGTTGCACTTATTCATTATCCCTCATGTACAGACTCAATCAAACCGAGTCTGCAATTCTTATGTTATTTTGTTGTGATTAATGCTTCCGAGGGATCACTTTGTTTCCAGAATTTTGTACTTCACAACAGCAGGTGTCAAGTGCCGTGTGGCAGCCGTAAAAAGTTGCCCCGTACTTCACTTCAGTGTGTTGTTATATTTTCTGGTCCTTCGGGATCATTGATGCAACACTATAAAGTGTGTTGAGAATTGAGTACCGCTCAAGCCGGTGCTAGGGGGCGTGAGGGGATGTTGCACTTATTCATTATCCTCATGTACAGACTCAATCAAACCGAGTCTGCAATTCTTATGTTATTTTGTTGTGATTAATGCTTCCGAGGGATCACTTTGTTTCCAGAATTTTGTACTTCACAACAGCAGGTGTCAAGTGCCGTGTGGCAGCCGTAAAAAGTTGCCCCGTACTTCACTTCAGTGTTGTTATATTTTCTGGTCCTTCGGGATCATTGATGCCAACACTATAAAGTGTTGAGAATTGAGTACCGCTCAAGCCGGTGCTAGGGGGCGTGAGGGATGTTGCACTTATTCATTATCCCTCATGTACAGACTCAATCAAACCGAGTCTGCAATTCTTATGTTATTTTGTTGTGATTAATGCTTCCGAGGGATCACTTTGTTTCCAGAATTTTGATCTTGGCTGCAGGGACCTGAATTTTGTGCGCGACACTCCGCCTCACAATGGTGAACATTTGTGCCAAGTTATATTGAAATCCCTCTATGCATGTGGAAGTTTTGCTCCGGACAAGCGTTTTTCAATGAGCTCTAAGTGTGACCTTGACCTTTGACCTAGAGACCTAGTTCATGTGCATGACATGGCTTCTCATAATGGTGAACATTTCTATGAAATTTCATTAAAATCCCTCCATGCGTGTAGGAGATATGCTCCGGACAAAATCTGGATATTTCATCATCTTTAGTGACCTTGACCTTGTATATATTGACCTGAATTATATGTATCACAGCCATAGTCTTGATAATGACCATTTGTGTTACAATCCCTCAATAAATGATGACTAAATGGTCCATATACACATCTTCATATTTTTATCTGAACTTTGACCTCTATGTGTGACCTTGACCTTGGCCGCAAGGACCTGAATCTTGCGCGCGACACTCCGCCTCACAATGGTGAACATTTGTGCCAAGTTATATTGAAATCCCTCTATACATGTGGAAGTTTTGCTCCGGACAAGCATTTTTCAATGAGCTCTAAGTGTGACCTTGACCTTTGACCTAGAGACCTGGTTCATGTGCGCGACACTGCTCCTCATAGTGGTGAACATTTCTATGAAGTTTCATTAAAATCCCTCCATACATGTAGGAGATATGCTCCGGACAAAATTGGACGCCGCCCGCCCGCCCGCCAGGGGCGTTCCCATAATACGTCCCGTTTTTCAAATGGGCGTATAAAAACTCAAATATTCTCCATTGTTAATCCTCATAGAATAATATTCAATATTAACATGAAAAAACTGGACTTGAAATAGCATGTTTATTAAATTTTAGAATAAATTTATTGTTATTTTGCAAGATATGGGCATTTACAGGTGATCCAAATATTTATCTTGATCCTTAAATTGATTTTTATTTTGATCTGATTATTTTTGTATTTGTTTTGTTATTCATCAATTTTATCCCAAAATAGGTTTGTTTCTTTGCAAAACAGCAATTGTTTACATTTTGAATATATACCATTTAATTCTTGCAAATAACCATCAAAGTTAATGGTCAATGTTTGTGACAAATAAACATATGAAGACTTCTTAACATATAGACAAAAGGAATTATGCTCTCCAAAAATATTTCCTGTATTTGAATACTATGAAGTATACAAAATAAAGTACACAAAATGTATTAAAGAAAATGTAAGTTATTTATTTGAACTTTAACCTGTAAGAGCTGAAAGTAATCAGCCTTTGCCATCTTTATTGAGCCAGGGAAGAACAAGCAATCAAAGAAGAAAGAGAGGAAAGAGTTTGCCCCTATACCAACCTAGAATATGGTCTGCACATGAATTTAAACATAAAGCGACGCCCCTGAAAATAATTGTTTGATGGGCTACAAAACCTTAATTCTCTAAAATGCTTTGGTATTGTCATTTATATAATATGGCCACAGGATAAAACGTTGTAGATACCAGTGATTTTTTTCACTGTATTTTACAGGCAAATAAAGGCTGTTTCCCCTAGCCAAAAATAGGTATATTTTCCCCTAAAAATGCTAATATTTTCCCCTAAAATGCCTCATGCTCTTCCTTACCAGAACCATGACTTAACAGCATCTGACTTAATCAGCTAGAAGACAGAAATATGTCCCTACAGATAGCCTCTGCTATGTACCATGCATGTTAAATTGAATTGAAATTAATTTTTTTCACAAGAACCGGTTGAACCGGGTGATGCTCCCCGAGAAGGTTTTGGACACAGGAAAGTATAAAAAAAATGAACAAAGGGCAAAAAATCCAAAGTTAGGCAAGGCAGAGTTATGTTTTTTTTGCACTGCACTTTATATTCAATAAGATCTATCTATCTATAAAGTTTCGTGATGATATCTCTTATAGTTTCAGAGTTATGTCCCGGGTAAAATTCAAAGTGTAAAAATGAACAAAGTGCAATAACTTCAAAATAAGACAAGGCTGCATTTCTAAAGGTTCTTTAACAATGCACTTCTACTCAATGAGATCTATCTACCTACAGAGTTTCATGTTGATATCTGTTACGTCCCGGACAAAGTTCAAAATGTAAAAATAAACAAAGGGCAATTATTACAAGAAAAGCTGATAGACAGGTGAAAGGATGGACTGACATAGCAGCGACTATATGCTCATCCTTCGGGGGGCATAACGAAAATTATGTATATGTATACTGTAACCC